GGCCTGCTCCACCTCTCTGGACAGAAGTGTGAGTCCAGAGAGGGTAAGTGAAGTGGGGAACCGAGGATGTGAGGGACACCGCCAGCCAGGCGCTTCCTGCGCGTTCTGAGCTTATGTCATTCTCATCAGTGCCCGGCTCCACACCATGAGTTCTGTGTTGCTATTCTATTTTAGAAGGGGGAACTGAGACTAGGTAGGTGAGTTGCCTTGTTCAAGATTTCTATACTTGTAAGAGGGATGGGACTGGAATCCAGGACTTCTGCTGGGCTGCTCTGATCCCTCCCAACAGTTAACAGGACTGCACTGTCCTAGTGACAAAGGACAGGGTCCTGTGTCATGTGACTACTGATGTATGTGCTTTAGGGGTGGCAACTGGGGAACATTGGTCTGCACAGAATGGCCCTGGGCTTAAGGTTGGCTGCAGGCTGGCTTACAACCTAAGCCAATGAGTGACCCAAGACTTACTTCCTAAAAGCACCTCTGGGTCTCCTCCCACCTGGGCAGATGTGTTTTGGAACTCCAGGGAATGGAACTGACATTCTGGGTCATTCAGTTGCCCTTACCTAGTGTTCCCAAGCCTCACCTCTGGTGGAGTTAAGGGCTGTGGACAGCCACAAAAGCTTCTCCAACCTCCAGGGCTGGAGGAACTGCTCTGAACAACCCTAAGGTGGCTTCCACGGAGGCAAACATGGCCTCTTGGAGCAGGGAAAACAAAACCTCAGCCACCCTTGTAGCTCAGTGCTGGGCACAAAGCAGGCACTCTTACTCCTTTGGCCGCACTGTGTAACCCAGGCCTCCCAGCAGCCTCCCTAGTGCTGAGATGACAAAAGTACACTTCCTCACCTGGCTTAGAGTATCAAATCCAGTTTAGGTCTGGGCCCAGCCTGCTCCATCAGGGACCGTTAGAGGCTTCAGGAAACTGTGAGGGGGGATGGGGAGAGGCAGGGAGTAGGGGGTGTTTACCCACAGGGCCTGATATTCTAACTCCAGAACCATGGATCTCTGATCTGCCAGAAACCTTTAACTGTGACTCCAGCAAAAATTAACAGAGCACCTTGCTCCTAACAGAGTTTTCACGTTCACTGTTCCTGAGAGTTAGGGCAACATCTCCAGCTGGTAATCAGGACCTGGCATTTAAGACCAGTCCTTCTCTCTCCATCCCTTACACTAGTCACCACCCTCCTAAAACCTCATTCCTGCCTCTCCATCCTGCTCCTCTTCTGGACCAAGATAACACCTGTCTAACTGCTCCCTGTCTTCCTCCCACCAATCAGAGCTCCCATATCGGCCTGTGGCATTTATAAATGCAAATCTGACAGTTAACGTCTCAAGTTAATGGAAGGGAGGTTTACAGAGCACAGTTCCCCAGGTGCAAAGCCTCTCACTGCTTCTTTGTCAAGCCCTTGTGAATGTACATGGTTTACACCAGTGTGCCTGTATGAACCTATGACTGCATCGGTAGTCCCCTCCAGTCCCTTCTTTCTCCGCACTTAACCCACTACCACACACAGTCAGGAAGTACCACTGCTGCCAACCGCCAACCACACGGAACCGCACGCGTCCGTGGCTTTGCACCTGCAGCTCACTTGGCCTCCCCACCTCACTTAGTCATCCTCTAAGAATCAGCTCAATAGTCACCTTCTCCATAGCTCTTTTCTAATTTCCCTTGACACACAGCCTCCTCCTTACCAAATCAAGTACTAATCGTCTGTTTCCTTGTCAGACTCTGCCGAGAGACTGCTCCAGTCTTAGGCAAGAACTAAGCTAGGCATTCTCTGGAGATTCAATACCCCAATGGTGGGCGCCTGAAGAATGAATGAATGAATGAATGAATCTCAGAGGGCAGGAGTGTGAGCAAGAGGCTGGCGCGTGCCGGAATTGAATAAAACAGTGAGCCAGCCATTCATTCATTCTCCCATTCATCTCTGAGCCCCGCACCCGCCTCATTTCCACAATCGGTTCGAAGGGATCACGGCTCGCCTGGGCTCCGGGGGCGAAGGACGGGAAGGGGCGGGGCTCAGCCAGTTTCTCCGGAACCCAGAGCAGGGAGGGCTGCGGGAGTGGCCCTAAGGGAGTACTAGGTGCCTGGATCCCGCGCCCGCGCTTTATCCGCGTGCGTCCCCAAGAGACTGAGCCCCAGTGCCTCCGGGTCGTGGGACCCTGCACCAGTCGGGCCGAGCGGATCCTGTCTCAGCAAAACCGGTCTGAGATAGCACGACCACAGCTCTGGCCGCTAAAGGCGCCCAACCGCCTGGCCCTTCCTCTGGCCAGCTTGCCAACGAAGGCCACCCAGGACCTTGCGTCCGCGTCCCCTCTCGCGCTTACCCACCGGCTAGGCTCTTCGGGTGTCCCAACGGGGGCTGGGCCGGACGGTGTGGCCGCCTCGGGAGTCCGCGTCCCCGGCACGCTCTCCCCGCCCAAGGCCCGCTAGGGGCCGGGCCGCCGCCTATCGTCATCCCCCGCAAGGCCCAGACTCAGGAGCGCGCGCGGGAGCGCGCGTGCTCTTGAGCCCCGCCCCGTGTTGGTAGCCCTCTCCAGGGCCGGGGCCAGCGCCCGTCAAGGTTTGGTGCTGCACTTATTTACTAAGTCGCAGGACCAGACCCATCTTAGTTACACTCGCACGCGTACACACACACATTCCTCCAGTAGAAGACAAAACTCACGATGTAGTTCTCAGTGGAACACCAGATGCTGTTCTCTGTCCTAAGCAAACTAGACCCTCACTACACTGCCTTGGGTCTTAGGCCAGTCCTTTCCCATTTCTAATTTTCTGTCTCCACCCACCTTCTCGTTCCATGATGCTGCTTGAGTTGGACAATACCAGTTGTATGCGCCCGGCGGGCATAGGGAAGGCACTAACTGTACTGTGCGCCTGCAACTTTTATATGTACTAGTCTTTTGGTGTCAGAGCACTGTCATCTTGCTACCTATGTTCAGTTTCCAGCTAAGCCCATTTAGGTTCAGGGAGCTGGCTGAGGAATTCAAATCCAAACCTCTGATTTGAGAAAAACTCCTTCTAGTAGCCTGCAATCCCTTACCCCTTCTTTCCACTTACTCCTTGCCCTAAAGGTTTCTGTTCCCATCAAAGACCAGAACAGATCTCAGTGTTCATCCCTTTCCAGATGGATGTACTGGAGGCCGCCCAGTCTAGGAGAAACCCTACCACCATTCCTCCCAGCCCATAGTATCATCCCAGCTTACAAGTTTGCATGGCCTGTGGGGATGGACCACGCGGATGATCTCCCCTGTTGGTATCAGTTCTACTTGTAGTGCCATTCCGCTATGTGAAGAGCCAGCCTGTAGAACGCGAAACCTGCCCAGCGGCCCACTGGCTCTGGCTGCTCCGCTGGCTCACGCTGGGATGGCCAGTTGGTTCTGCTTCAACTCCAGCCCCAGGGGATGTGGCTGGTCCAGTTTCTCAGGACATAGCTGGAGCAGTCCAGGTCTGATTGGGAGGTCTCTTGGCCAGAGGGTTGGGGCAGGAAGAGGAGGGGCTGAAGGATGGAGGAAATGCCTGTTGTCTCAGGTAACCAGAGGAGCTGATGCATCCACCCATGAGGGACCCTGGGTTCCAGGTCAAAGGTTAGGAGACAACCCCCACCCCCTCCCTTCCTAGCAACTCCTTGGCAGGGCCTCCCAAGCTGCCCTCTCCCAGACCAGCTAGAGAGCCAAATCACCATTCCTCTAACCAGAGGGCACATCTTTCCACAAGCCAAGAGGATCCCTTATGTGGCATTGTCCCTACTGAGGTCCCTGCAACTCAGCTGCCTCTGAAGGTAGAGAGCCTTACCCACCTTTAAAAAAAAAAAGTCCGAATGTTATCTAAGCTAGTCTTGAACTCCTGAATTCAAGTGATCTGAGTCTTGGGAGGACAGGAATGTGTTGACCACTTGACTACAATTTTTTTTTTTTTTTTTTTTTTTTTTGAGACAAGGATTCTCTTTGTCACCCGGGCTGTCCTGGACTGACTGTGTAGACCAAGCTGGCCTCAAACTCAGAGATCTTGCATGTGTGTGCCACCACTTGACTATACCTTGTTTCAGAGGCCAGGGCTGGTCATGCTGGGCAGATATTGGGAACAGCAAGAGCCCTCTGCCCTACCCACTACTAGAGCCTCAAGGTAAGTTCCTGGGTGTGTACCCCCTGTTTATTTTCAACTGCATCCCCCAACACACACACACAGTGTTCCTGTTTTTCTGTTTTCATTGTTGCTAAATCACAGCTGACATTTTCCTGGCCTGGGACTGAGCTCTGGGTCTCCAGTCATTCCTTATAGGAAATGAGAATGGGGAAGTCAGGGGAAACAGACTTTTCCAAGAGAGGTTGGCATGGGAGGGGCAGGGAACCTCTGGGACTGCTCTGACACTGATGATCGGGCACCTTCTCTTTTCTCCCTCAGCTTCCCCCGCCCAGGAAAGGCCTATAAAGCTTCCTTCCTCTGGGAAGCACATCTATCCAGGGCAGGCTCATCCCAGTGGTCACACAATGGCTCTTATCAGTCTCGGAGCCAGGCACAGAGACCCAGCACACACCAAGTCTCACATATTTCCTGTTTCCACCCAACGGGTCAGGGGTGGGCCCAGAACAGCCATATCCTGCCTGGGGCCTGAGAGGGAGCAATCCCCTTCCTTTTTCCGCCTCTCAATCACAGCTGAACTCACCCTTTTCGGTTCAGGAGGGACCCTGCACTGGGACACCAGGGCAGTGTTTCTAAGTGTAGGAAGGGTAGAGGGGATTTGTGGGAAACTGTGGGGACCCCTGGGCCCTAGAGCCAGCCCCAGGCTTCATGAATCAGAAGAGCAATGCTATTGGTGTTTTTGAAGGGTTTGGGGTTTTGACAATGGTTCTCTCAGTGACTTGTCAACAGGTATACCATTTGTGTTTTCTAGATAACAGACTCCTGTGGGTAAGATAGGGTAGGATGGATCACAGATGGCAGGTCCAGCCTCTAAGCCCCACACCTAAATCCTGGTCTTCACCCCCATCAAAGGAGCCACATACAAGTGTAAAAGCCACATTTATAATTATCCCTCAGTGTAACAACTCACACAGAACAGACGGCCAGGGCTCACTAGAAGCCTAGTGGGGGGGTTAATTCTTAACATGCAGTGGCTCTCAAAATAGAATACCTAGAGTAACTGGAGTGACTCTAAGGTCACAAGATGGACGTGAGAGTTATAGGACAAGACTCCCTGAGGTCTTCTCTTGGGAGAAGGGGTGTTGAATCAATATTGGCAGAAGGCAATCAGCAGGAATAAGGACAGGCTATATCTACATGCCACCTGCAGAATGCTGAGGCCTCTTGATGCTAGGTCCTTCAACATGACTTGAGCTCAATTCCTCTGCTGCTTCCCATCTAGGTCTCAGCAGGGCCCAGAGTGTTTTGTCAATGACTCATGATAGGAGTAGCAGCAGATGGCCTTGATCTAAAGGACCACCCAAGAGGAATGTGGACATAGCTCCTTCAAGGCCTGTCAACCCTTTGTAAAGGGTAGGTTGGCAACATGGGGCCTAACTTACCAGCAGAAACTAACCTGGGTCTATACCATTTGCTCTGCTTAGGCACTAGAACTTCCTGATCAGAGTCCACGTTATAGAGTGAGATAGATATACAGTCTACATTGTCATAGTGCTTGAGCTGCAGACAGGGATCTCAGAGCCTCCACTCATTCCCATGGGGACAATTATGAGACACCAAGACTTCTGGAACCCAGTGCAGTTTGTGCCACCCAATTTATGGGGCCTGTACAAGTGTGAACATCTCCCCCTTCCCAGGCAGCTCAGGGCCCAGGATGGCGTGATAGGAATGCAGGCCTGTGCCAAATGGGGCATGTGCCTGGCACAACTACTTGGGTATGAGAGTATTGGAGGGGGGTGTTAAAGAAAATGGCATGCAAGTTAGTGGTCTTTTCCATATGCAGTGGACTGTCCCAAGTCTTCACCACTGACACACTACTTTGTTGCAATCACATCTCAGTAACAAAAACCTGTATTAAACGGCCAGTTCATCTGGCTTGGAGAGAGCAGAAGAGTCTGGCTGAGCTCCCCTGGGAGGTGGGGAGAGCTGGAGAATACTCAGCAGCCTCCTCGGGCCAGGCCAGACCCAGTGCTCCTGGAAGTGCCGAGGCACAGCTGGCTTCCAGCTCTAGCCTCCGCCCTGGATTCAGTCACTCCCATGGGGGCTCAGATCTGTGGTTCAGGATCACACAGTGCATCATCCCTCAAAAAGAAGCGAAGCGGGATCTGCGGGGGTAAAACAGGTGGCAGGAGGGGTTAGCAGGTCTTACCTACTTTCCCAATGCTCCCACCACCCAACAGATACAGCCCCACAGGCATGAGGTGCCTCACAGGTCTGTTGCTTCAAAGCACTAACAATGGGCCCAAGTCCTTCAAAGTAACCTCCCTCCTCTCCCACCAGCACACTTACCTTGAAGGGTTGACTTATCCCTACTACAGAGTGCAGATTGTTGCTATAATAACAGAGAAGAAACTGATCCTCGGTCTCAGGGACATCACTGATGTTGATGTATACCTGGGGCGACAGGAATAGTGTCTGTCAGCTCTAGGGCCCTGGGCCCTTCTCAGTATAGTGGTAAATTATCCAACACTTCCTTCCGGAAGACAAGAATATACAGTCAAGTCTGCATGTTGGAGATGTACCTGGTTTGGGTTGTTGCCATAGGAGACTTGGTTGTCGCCAACCCAGGCATAGGACACGTAGTCATTAATGTGGCGCATCCCTACCTGTGAGCAGAGATCAGGCAGTCAGTCAGTGGTTGAGGAGGGCATGAGAGCTAGAGAACATCCTAAGGAGAAGGTGGCCTTACTGCTGGGGCTGGCCATTGCATTGTCTTCCCTTCCCTGGCAGGCCCTAAATTGGTAAGGCTCTCTGGGGTGAACAAGGGTAAAACTCTTCAGTGGTCTCTGGTCAGATCCTGTGATCCCCAACGATGGACAAGGGGGAGGGGGGACGATGGACTCCCTGCCATACTTGCCACATCACCTTGTATAGTCCAATCCAGTCCCAGGGGCTGCTGAGGAACTCTGGGTTAGAGGCATAGCTGATCAACATGTCGTTCTCCATGGTCCACAGGCATTCAGGCATTATAGTAATCAGTGGGACAGACATCAGTGGATTCAGCTAAACACAGGGGTGGGAGGTAGGCTGAGATCCTTACTGTGTACTTCCAGAGTGGTGGGGGCAACAGGGACACCCAGAGCAGTGGGCATAGAACTTTGCTAGGCTACTCTATCTGACCCTAGCTGACCAGCAGGAGAGAGAGGGCCAGAGGGCTTTGTCAGAGGGAGAGCTTGCCCTGTCAAGGAATAGGGTCTAGAACCAGGTAGACAGCCCAGAGCCCAGAGCCCAGAACTGAGAGTGAGTGTGAATGTGAAGAGGCAACTGCTTTAAGAGATGTCAGTTTTGTGGGGAGATGCTGTGGCGAGAACAGCTGTAAACGTGTGGAAGGGCCAGGGTTGAAGCTGAGGCGAGCAGAGTTAAACGTGGCCAATACTGCTTTGTTATTAGGTGGCAAGATATAAAGGATGGAGAGAGCTCCCTCTGCAACTTGATCTAGATATAATTAGGACCAATAAAAGGAAGGTCCACTTCACATAGGTAATAAGCATGATGGAACTCATTAACCTCAAGGGAGAGTCCCAGGAGGAAACAGAAGCCTATTCACAGAGGGCCTGGACTTGTTTTTGACAGAAGGAACCATCAACAGCTCCTCAAAACACTGGGAGACCTGACCGGAGAGAAAAGGCAATCATGTCTTCCTACAGGTGTCCCCTGCAGATTGCCTGATGTCACAGCTAGGCTCTAGAGGATCTGCTGGTGTGGCCCAGCAAAGCTACCCCTGTGCCGGGGGAAGCCCAGAAGTTCACCTCCAAGTTGAAGGTCCCAGTGACAGGCTTATGGTCACTGATGCTGTACATCATGTGGCTGATGTAGCTCTTTAGTGTCAGCAAGAAGTAGGAGGTTGGCAGACTGGAGACCAAGGGGCTGGCCTGTGGCTGCCGCTTCAACCTCCACAGGATGCGATCAGTCCATGCAGGCTTGCGTTTTTTCTCACTTAGTGTAGAAAAAAGAATGGAAATAAAAGGAGTTGACAAGACATATGCCTTGACATGAAAGAAATGTGCCTCCATGTGCCTGTTTCGGGTCTACCAGCAGTCTAGGGCTTCTGAGCTAGAACTGATGGAAGCACAGTGGCGGGTGGAAACAGCAGGAATCAACCAAAGATCTTCTGCCTAAACCCACATTTTTATGAATTAAACTCTGATTTAAGAACAGTCTATTCCAGGCACTTCGAAATTAAAAAAAAAAAAAAAAAAAAAAAAAAAAAGGCAGAAAAGACGCTAGGTTGGGTTTTGAAGTTGTAAAGACTCACACACGAATCTGGGGAATGCTTACCACAGTGGTTAGTATGGTTACCACTCACTCACCCTTTATAGTAGGGAGACTGAGTCTTAGAATGGGAGTAACTTTCCCAAAGAGTTACTAAGTGGTGCATCCAGGACTCAAGGCCAAGCAAGCAGCATGACCACAGAGCACATGTTCTGAACCACCAAGCTAACCCTCTTAGGCTCCAGCTTCCTCATCTGCAAAATGGAGATGAGAACAGTTGTTACCTCATAGGGCTGCTAAGATGACTAGATGAGCTGAATTGCATCTAGAGCAACATTCGACACGAAATAGGCTCTCTGTAGAACGCAGTCACTGTGGTTAGACAGAGTCTCTGGAATCTAGGCTGGCCTCAAACTTTCAGTAAAGGTGGGGATGACTTTGAACTCATCCTCCTGCCTTCATCAGTGCCCGGAGCACAGGTGTGTTCCATGCTCACGTTTATGTGGTGCGAGCCATCCAACTTAGGCCTTCTGTACATTCTAGGCAAGCACCCCACCAACTGAACTACATTCCAAGCTCCCACTGTGATACTTTGTTAACAAAAGTCAGCAGAAAGTGCTTGACATACAAACATGAGGGTCTGAATCCCAATCTTTGTAAAATTCAAAACCATGTAAGTGAGGTATGGCAGCACACATCTGTAAACCCAATGTTAAGGAGGGTGGGGGCGGCAGACTGCTGGGGTTCACCAGCCAGCCAGTATAACTGAATGTGAGCTTCAGATCAGTAATCGACCCTGTTTCAAACAACAAGATGGGAGCCAGGTGTGGTGTACACCTTTAATCCTAGCTCTTAGGAGGCAGAGGCAAGTAAATTTCTGTGAGTTCTGCCAGCCTGGTCTTTATAATGAGTTCTAAGACAGCCAGGGCTATGGAAAGAGACCCATCTTAAAAAAAACAAAATGCCAGAGAGTAAAAGTATTTGCAACCAAACCTTATCACCCCAGTTTGACCCTCAGAACCCACAGGGTAGAAGGCAATAGTGGGAACCAATTCTCAGAAGCTATCCTGTTTGCCATTGCACGTGTACCCCCCCCACTAAAAATGTAAAAAAAAAAGTTAACGTTTTTAAAAGGTAAAAAACAAAACAAACAAACAAAAACAACAAAGAAGACAGCAGACACAGACATCTAACCTACACACATTCATATTCATTCTCTCTCTCCAAAAAGTCAACCCAAAGTGTCATCAGGCTTGGTGGCTCACACCTATAATCCTGGCACTCAGCTAGCTAAGGCAGGAGGATCACTTTGACTCTGAGGTCAGCCTAGGCTACATAAATGTCCAAGCCAGTGTAGACTAAGAGTGAGTTCCTGTTTCAAGGGGGAGGTGGGGACTGGAGGGATGGCTCAGCAGTTAAGAGCAGTGGCTGTCCTTTCAGGGGACCTGGGTTCAATTCCCAGCACCCATGTGGTTGGTTACAATCACTCATAACTCCAATTCCAGGAGCTCTGATGCCCTCTTTTGATGTCTGTAAACACTAGGTGTGAATGTAGAGCACAGATACAGGGAGGAAAAACACACATAAAATAAAAAAATTAATAAACTGAACTTTTAAAAAAGGTATAGGGTGATGAAGACCCTGAACATTTAATGCTGGCCTTTGGCTTCCACAGACGCATGCATGGGCAATGGGCAAATGCACCCGCATATGTGTACACAAACACAAAAGCCCATGAGCAACAGCAACAACAACAACAAACCCCCCCCCCAAAAAATGTTTTCTAGTTATGGGTGGGCCGGGTGGCCCACACCTTTAGTTCCGGCACCGGGGAGGCAGAGGCAGGTGGATTTCTGAATATGTGATCAGCATGGTCTACAGAGTGAGTTTTAGGATAGCAAGGACTACAGAGAGAAACCCTGACTTGTAAAACAAAAACAAAAAAAGGCTTCTTTTCTCTAGTGACAGAAGTAAGTAGTTAGGCGAACATCTGACCCCATCCAGCTCCATTAGCAGCTACTGGGTCGGTCATTCATTAAACTTATCTTTCAGATAGGGACAAGACAGTCAGGGCCTGTGATGGCGAAGGGCCTGTGATGGCGAAGGGCCTGCAAAGGGGGAAAGCTGCTACTTCTGCAATTCTCTCCTTCAGCAGAGGATCCCTCCCCCACAGTAGCAAAACCTCATCTGATAATTCTCTACCAGAAATCTTAAGTGGCTTAGCCTGTAAGAGCTTGCAGCAAAGCCCGAAGACCTGAGTTCATTCCCAGAACCAATGGTGGAAAGAGAAAACCAATCCCTCAAAGTTGCCCTCTGAGCTCCAGGTATGCTCAGGAGAACACAAACATGCTCCCCCTCACAACAATAACATCTTTAGAGGTTTTCACTAACACAAGTCCTCGAGCAGGTTTTCAGAGGATCAGAAGTCTGACTACCCACCCTGACTCATCTCCCACTATGTGTGCGGATGCACTCTACACTCCCAGCTTAGCTCTGCTGTCTAGAATACCCTTCACCAGGGAGAGGCCCAATCCCAGTACTTCATCATAAAGCTGCCTGTAACACAGGATTTCTGCTTCCAAAGCATTTAATGCCAGTACTTTCACAATATTCTACCTTGTAACTGTGTTTCCCAGCTAGAGTATCAGTTAACTTATAGCCTCTGGGTCCAGGCCTTGCATACAGATTCTGGCCCTGGACAGTCATCAGCCTCCTAACTACAAAACCACATACTCAGCTTCTCTCCTCAAAAATGTCTATCCAGAGATAGGCGTGGCAGCACACACCCACATTTGAGAGGCAGGGGAAGGCAGAATGACTTGTCTCTGAAGTTCAAGGCCAGTTTGGACTACATAATGAAGATGCTATCTCAAAAACACAAACAAGAAGGGTTTGATGGCTCACATCTGTAACTCCATCATTTGAGACATGGGGGCAGGATTATAAATTCAAAATCAGTCTCAACGATAAAGTAAGTTTGAGGTTAGCCTGGGCTATGTGTGACTCTGTCTGAAGAACACTTGTCACCAGGCCTAAAGTTTGATCCCTGAGTCTATATAGTGGAGGAGAACCAACTTCTGAAAGTTGTTCCTTAATTCCCATGTGTGTACACACACAATAAATCAATGTAAGAAAAAAATTAAAGCAAGCTAGGCAGTGGTGGTGCACGCCTTTAATCCCAGCACTCAGGAGGCAGAGGCAGGTGGATCTCCATGAGTTTGAGGCCAACCTGGTCTACAGAGCTAGTTCCAGGACAGCTAGGGCTGTTACACAGACAAACCCTCTCTGGAAAAAAAAAATTAAAAATAAAACACAATGAGAAAAACGTCTCCAGTTTTAAGGTACAGTCCCTGTGTCCCACTCACTCTGAAACAGTTTGTCTCCTGCTTTCTTCAGTCCCACTGTTACTAAATACATCCAATGCACTCTTGCCACTTAAGTAGCAGCACATCTTTCAACATGTGAGGGTGGTACCATGGGGAACTCAACTATGGAAACACAGGCCAGCTGGAGGAAGGTTCTGGTCTGCTAACCCAGAGAGCTATGCCCTCAAGCAAGTGACATCACCTCTCTAGCTCAGTTTCTTGAACTTTAAGATGGGGTGATAACAGCACTTGCTTCAAAGAAGTTGAGGCGTCAAGGAGTGGCCAAGAAGTGGAAACTCTGGCTAAACTACCTTCTGCTTCTCAGTTCCAGTTCCTAAGGTTGCCTCCAGACTTTTTTTTTTTTTTTTTCCCTTTGGAGACAGGGTTTCTCTATGGCTTTGGAGGCTGTCCTGGAACTGGCTCTGTAGACCAAGCTGGCCTCAAACTCACAGAGAACTGCCTGCCTCTGCCTCCAGACTCTTACTCCTCTGGCTTTTTGTTCAGAGTCAGGGTCTTAACTATGGACCCCTGCATAGCCTGAAAGTCACTATGTGGACCAGGATAGGCTCAAACTCACAGAGATCCCCCTGCCTTTGCCTCCCCAGTGCTGGGATGACTGGAAAACCACCTTGTCAATCTTTGCTTGGTCATTATTAACATGAGGTGCCAAGCAAGACTTACACCATCATAAAAGCCAAACAAATGCACTTCTTCTTCAATGCACAGCTTCTCCCCAACTCTCTGAGATGATTAAGAATTCAGACTTTGATGGACGTTGGTGGTGCAGGTCTTTAATCCCAGCACTCAGGAGGCAGAGACAGGTGGATCTCTGTGAGTTTGAGGCCAGCCTGGTCTACAGAGCTAGTTCCAGAACAAGCTCAAAGCAATACAGAAAAACCCTATCTCGAAAAATAAGAGAAAGAAAGAAAGGAAGGGAGGAAGGAAAGAAGGAAGGAAGGAAGGAAGGAAGAAAGGAAGGAAGAAAGGAAGGAAGGAAAAGAAAAAAGAATTCAGACCTCACCAAGTGGTGGTGGCACATGCCTTTACTCCCAGCACTGGGAAGGCAGAGGCAGGCAGATGGATGCCTGTGAGTTTGAGGTCAGTCTGGTCTACAGAGCTAGTTCCAGGACAGTCAAAGCTGTTATACAGAGAAATCCTGTCTCAACAAACAAACAAACAAACAAAAGAATCCAGACCTGGGGCTGGAGAGATGGCTCAGCGGTTAAGAGAACTGGCTGCTCTTCCAGAGCACCCTGGTTCAGTTCCCAGAACCTATATAGCTGCTCACAAATGTTTCTAACTCCAGTTCCAGAGGATCCAATGCTCCCTCTCAGTCAGTCCTTCTTCCTATCTTTGACATCTATATTGTTCATCTTTTCTACTAGGATTTACCATATGTCAAGCAAGTAAGATAAAGAAGCAGGGTCAGGCAGGCAGGTACAATGGTGCATGCTTTTAATCCTAACAGAGGCAGGTGGATCTCTGTGAGTTCAAGGACACCTGGACTACATAATAAGTTCCAGGACAACAGGAACCATACAGTGACACCCTATCTCAAAACAAAATAAAAACAAAAATCAACCAACCAGACCAAACAGTCAACAAGATTATTTTTGCAGCCTGGATAGAACCCAGGGCATGCAGTAGATAACTATCACTGGGCCACACACCCAGTACCTTGGGCTTGTTTGATAAACCAGACAGGAAACAAAAGGCAAATGAATATGCCATTGTATCTATTCTTCAAGATCTCCATTACTCATCATTTGAAGTGGATCCTTAATGTGTATTACTCACTGTGACATCTATACAATGAGCCTTTTAAAAAGGATTTATTCATTTTTATTTCATGTGTGTGGGTGTTACTGCATGTATTTTTATGTACCACATGTATGCAGTGCTCACAGATGCTCTGGAACTGGAGTAACAGACAGTTGTGAGGGACCATATTGGTGCTGGGAACTGAACCTGGGTCCTCTCCAAGTGTAACAAGTTCTGTGAGCCTCTGAGCCATCTCTCCAGTCCCCATGATCCTGTCTTACAAGTCACTTTTTTCTAAAGCTGGGAGAGGCTACTCCATCCTGGTGAAGCAGGACACTTGCCCAGATCTGCTGACTACAAAGTTTATGTGCCTTCACTTCTTTCGGGCCCTTCCCTTCAGAGAAGCCAGAACTGTCCTACAGTGGAGATCAACCTCACTAAGGCTTTCTGGCTGGATGGTTTGAATATAACTGTTTTTCAAATAAATGAAGAAGGTGTCTTCACTTTCAGAAAACTAATGCCACAAGACTCTGCAAAACTCTCTAAAAGCAAAACAAAACCAAAAAACATACCAACCACAGAACCAGTCTACTGACCCTACAGTAGCTGTGGCACATGACACTCTGGATCAGTTTCTTCTATGTACAAAAGCACATTCACTCCAGCTCCCTATGGACAGCTTTTAAGTACCTCTCTGAACTCTAGAGCACAGTAACTGGTCATGCACTTAATGTGTCTGTGACAGTCTTAACTAGCTTTGATCATAATACCCTCTGCTCCATGCTCATTCTATAACCCACAATGGTTACTGTAACTGCACCTGGTGCAATCCCTGACTCTAACAGGATTTCCCGCCCTGCTCTCAGCTCCTCCACCCTCCCCTGTAATGGAGCTGACTTCGTTTCTCATTACATCTTGGCTCAGGAACACTGCATGGCAGATGAAAGCTGCATTCCATGCTCTGCACACAAATCATTCATAGTCACTTTGTAGAGCTAGACAGACACATAAATCACCTAGTCACTTAGGACAGCTATGCAGGCCAGGGTCTTGTTCCCACAAGGTGCTTCTCATCAGTGCTGCTGATGGATTAGAGGGCCTGTCCCTCTTCTCTACCAACATTGCTGCCTCCTTCAGTAGACAGTCTCCTAGGGACTGAGGTGTATATAGCTCAAAGGCAGAATACTTGTCTAGTATGTGTGGGGCTCTGGGTTCAACCCCTCACTGCAAAAACAAACCAACCCACTTCTCCTTGACAAGTGTAATTGGCCCCTCCTGTCTTAGCTGCCAGCTAAGTTCCTTTGGTACTTCTTCAAGTTCTAGAAACATACTGGCTGACTCTTAGCAAAGCTAATTGTGACTATTTGGCTCTCCCTGCCTTTGGTGGGTCCCTCTGCTAGTATTGCTTCAATACCCTTCTCAGGCTCCTGATTCAAACATATGCTTGCAGCTGAGGACAACAGTGTGAGCGTCAGCCCATGTGTACCTCCTCTGTATTGTTCTCTGGGAACTTCACTTTTTCCTGCTTTGCTTTTCTTTAGGTGGATGGTTTTGTTGTTGTTGTTTGTCTGTTTTTATTTAATTTATTCCATGTGCATTGGTGTTTTGCCTGCATGCATGTACATCTATGTGAGGGTGTTGGACCCCCTTCAAACTGCCATGTGGGTGCTGGGAGTTGAACCTGGGTCTTCTTGAAGAGAAGCCAGTGCTCCTAACCACTGAGCCAGCTTTGAGTGGTTTTTTTTTTTTTTTTTTTTTTTTAAAGATGGGATTCACTAAGCCCTGGCTGGCTTTGAACTTGCTAGGGTGGTTTAGCTTGCACCTCACAAGTGCAAATATTATAACTGTGCAAAACCACAACTGATTTTCCACTCCTTTTCATCTTCTCATGCAGTATTTGACCCGCTCAGGGAACTTAATGTGAATAACTATCTTAGGTAACCCTTTTGTACCCCTGAATGGGGACTAGAGGGCCCTGGAAAGTAGAGGTAAGTGTTCCCAGAATGTGTTGGTGCCTTCCCTCCTAAGTTAAGGCTGCCTCTGCTCTTGCTTATACCCTTCTCCTTCAATAACTTTCTACTCTATACTCCACTCTTGCTAACATCAGCCTTCCCTTCCACTCTCAGACCAATCTGGGAAGCTCCCAAAGCCAGTGCCTCAGGGAAGGGGAGGAGGTTCCAATCCCGAGAGCAGATGGATGGATCTGTTCCTGCTTCCCTGATACCTCCATTCCGTAGCACACCCCAACCTCCACCCTGCTCCCAGAGCTGGCTGGCACACTGAGACCGCCAGAGCCCCCGAGGCGCTGGTTCCCTCCTCACCTGGTGTCATAGTTGTTGGAGTGCCTATCAAACTTGTAGGTGGGTGGGAAGAGCAGGGGGCCTTCCTGGAACTCCCGGAGCAGTGGGTCACGTCTCTTGGCAATGCTGAGCTGTAGATAAAGACACAGTCCCCATCTTCTCACAGTCCTGATGCAATAGGTCAGCACCACTCTCTTTTTCTCCCTGCTTTAGCAGTCCCCATATCTTCTGAAAATGTGACTTTATAGGTTCAGCAGAAGCAGGTGTTTGCCATTTTCTCTATCTACCCTTCCTCTGTGGAGAGCAGACCTTGAGACCTTGATTTCCAACTGTCTGGGGGGTCACTAGAGGGACAGTGCCAGAGGACGTACAAAAGCCAAGGCCCTAACAGGGCCTATTATCTTCCAGAGGTAACCAGGCTAGGGACAGGAGAGGCAGCAGGGATATAAGTAAGCTAATGTGTTATAAGGCCTGTGCTGGCCAACGCTCACCTGGATCTCCCTCTCTGCCTTGGTTTTAGGGGGATGCTAGGATTTCACACTAGCTTAGACTTGCTGGAACTCGTGTAGGCAAGGTGGTACCAAAATCACAACAATTCTCTTGCCTTAGTCTCCTGAGTGCTGAGATTACAGGTGTGAGCTGCCAATGCCCAGCCTGGCTCCCTATTCTTGATCATGTCAATGGTTTTTCTAGGTAAAGATCAGTACTGACAGTATGGATGCCCCACCTCCTCTTCCCATCCAGAAAGAAAGTAGAACAGACCCCAGACAATGAGAATTCTCTGAACATTTCACAGTCCTCCATGACAGTTTAAACCCCCCCTCCTGTCTCACACACAGACACACAGACACACACACACACACCCAGACCTCTGCTTACTTCACACACACACACACACACACACACACACACACACAGACCTCTGTTCACTTGATACCTGATCCTTCTCCCACAGCTCTCTGTAGTACCGCTTTGTTATACTCTCCTGAACAAAGAGCAACCCAAAGTCCTCAATGCGAAAGTTCATGTCTCCAAACCACAGAATGAGGCTTCAGGAAAAAAAGGAGGGCAGCCTGAGGGTTTGTGATGAGGTCAGTGAAGAGGCACGCCTGTTGAGCCTAAGGGCTTCTGGGGAGGAAAAAGCTGAGGGGAAGGTGAGAAGCTAGATTCTAGGACATTAGCAGATGAAGGGTAGGACATGCATGGGTTCAACATGACAGCCCTTGGTGCCCATGCTATTATTTAAGTTATGGGATTTGCCCAGATAAGCACATAGCAGATACAGGGCAGGCTCTAGCCCTCTGCTCCCCAACTGGCCATCTGGACAAGTTAAGAAACAGCCCCCATGGTGAACTCAAAAACCACAAGGGTCTTGACCCAGGATGTTTACAAGTGTCCAGGGTTTCTAGGAAGGACAAAGAGGCCAGAGGAAGGTAGACATCAGGCAGGCAAAGCTGGGTGGTGCAGCAGATGGGACATCAGGAAGGGGTGGGGAGGGGCTGGGAGATGGAACACTACTGACAGGCAGCAAACTAGACTCAGCAGTCAATGCTAGCCTGGGCTGGCATGGGGGAGGGCAGGGGTGACAGTTTGCAGCTTCAGGCTCACTCATGGTCCAGGATGTTGGGAATATCATATCCTTCAAAAGTCTGACTCTCCAAGATTCGGTCAAAGTGCTCCAGCCGCTGATCATTGTTGGACATATGGGGAGGCAGGTGGCAGTTGACGATGCTGACATAGTAGCCATACAACTTCAAGCAGATGTTGACTCCTCCTTTGTTCCCCTGGTAGGACAGGTGGGAAGGAGGGTGGGGAGAGACTCTGGATTGATACACACCCCTCTTTCACCATCCTAGGTCTGAGGGGAGGCAGGCTTATCTCCCCCAGGATCTCAGCAACAGACACCCAGCTTCCCAGCTAATTTTTTCATGCACAAAGCCCAATACCACAATCTAGGATGTCAGGAATATCCAGGCCCTCCTGGATGTGGCAGGGTTTGGGGTGGGGTCTGGGTACTAGGCTACACAGAATACCCAGTCTCAGTTCATTTCCCCTGTTTGGTTTAGCTTCAAAGCATCCAGTCCTTGTCAGCTCAAGTCTCAGACAAGAGCTCAGTCCTTACCCAGTACCCGTAGAGGCCAGTAGGGGTGGATTTTGTAGAGATGATCTGGATGAAGGGCAAATGCTGATACTTGGCAAAGACCAGTAAGAGAAGCCCCTGCATACGTACTTGGGAGATCTGCAGCAGAGGGCAAAGATTACCCATTAAATTGCAAAGGTCAATTGTATCCCTTCTAAGCCCAACCAGGGACTTTTAAAAGAATTTGGAACCACATGTAAAGCCCTGCCCAAGAGTTCCTGGAGCCCCGTTTGAGTCTGAATTTCAACCTTTTCCTTTTTTCTCTCAGCTGCCCAACAGTGCATTCTGGAAGCTACAGTTTCAGTTTCTGATTATGGTTCTGCAGATGGAGGAAAGAGAAGAGGCTTCGAGGGTAGCTTGCCACGAGAAAGGCACTACTCTTCCAGCCCAGGCTATGCACAGCCAGGTATTCCTCATGCATGCTGTCCTAAGACCCTCTGTATACCCTCCCAATCTCTCAGCCTCTCTTCTCATGGATGAAACAGGAATAATACCATGCCATATGTACTGTGAAGATATTACTTTTTGGCTCAGCAGTATTTGAGAGTCTATATCTGTATTTAGGTGATCAGGATGGAGGTTATCAGGTGTGCTGCTCTGTTAATTTCCACCCTATTTTTTTGGGACAGGGGTTCCTCTTTGAACCTAGAGGTTGGCCCAATGATATGGCCAAGCCTGGCTTTGCATGTGGGCTGGTCTTGCTACCTGGAACTGACAGTCCTCCTGCAAGACCTCTTGAGTTCTGGGATTACAGGTATGTGGCCCCATACCCATTTTTGCTTAGATTTTTTTTTTTTTTTTTGATACAGGGTCTCTCTGTGTTGCCCTGGCTGTCCTGGAACTTGCTCTGTAGATCAGGCTGGCCTCAAACTCAGAGATCTGCCTGCCTCTCTGCCTCTCCTGCCTCTCAAGTGCCAGGGTTAAAGGTGTGTGCAACCACCACCCAGAGGCTTAGGGATACTTAAATACACTCAAGGACAAGCAAGAAACTTCTAGAGTGCTATTCTGAATCTTGAATTGACTGATAGCAACTCACATACAAAAATCCATTGATGCTACACACCTACTGTGCCCATCCACTTTGCTTCCCTTTATCCTCCATGATGTTGAGATCAATTTCAGAGCCCTATGCATACTGGTTAAGCATATGAATATGAATACTTTTCTATGCATGCCCTAGCTTACCATGAAAACGGTGTGTGTGTGTGTGTGTTATATATGTATAACTAGATAGTTAGGCATGACTACATATGTTTAACCCTAGCACTTAAGAAGAGGAGGCAGGAGGATCAGGAGTTTAAGGTTAGTATGGGAAGGTCTGGAAAGATGGCTCAGCGGTTAAGGCCATCGACTGTTCTTCCAGTGGACTTGAGTTCAATTCCCAGCACTCACATGGCAGCTCACAACTGTCTGTAACTTCAAGATCTGACACCCTCACACAGACATTTATATAGGCAAACACCAATACACGCATGTGCACACACAGGAAATTATGGGAAACAAGAGACACAGCTGCAAAAACTAAATAATAACTTCAGACTCTGTGGTTGAATGCTGGTGAAGGCAATGCACACAGGAAGGAACTGGATACTGAGGACAGGCTCCAGAGCTGGTTGGGGAAAGTACCTGATACACACGGAGAACCTTTAAGCTTTTCCCAGCTGTCAGGAACCACTGTCCCTGGCTAGCTGATGTAGGACTGAGATTCTAGGAGGCAGGGGAACTAGGAAGACTGTTTTTGGGCTTGCCAAAGAGCCTACTATTGGTAGCTACAGAGGTGGGGTGGGAAAAGTCAGGGCTGGACTGTCTACAGCCATCACTCCAGTAGCTGTTTCCGGAGCATGAGGTGCAAAGGCCAAGGAGGAAATCTCCGGGTGGAGAACTATACTGGGGCCTTCCAGGAATTATGAAACTTGATCCCATAGTACAGGAACAGCCCTAACACAGTAGAAGAGTCAAAGAAGGGGGAACCCCAAACTTAGTACTGAGTCTGAGTCCTCTGAGGCTACTACAAATGTATATACTAACCTACTCTCTTAAGGTTTTCTGTTTTTTGGGGTTTTTTTGTTTTTTGGTTTTTTTTTGGGGGGGGGTAACAGGAATTGAATCTCTGACCTAGCATAAATGCTTTAACCCAAGTTTTCTACTTCTCGCCATTCACAACTATCAATGACAACAGAAGCCTGGACAGGACTATATTATGAGGGACCAAATAAATCCCAGGATTGGGTCAGAAACCAAGAAACTGATAAGATTAAGGAGAAGATTTGCATTTCATTTAATCCTAACTAACAGCAGGTTTGGGCCATTGGGCTCCAACACAAAGACTAGTCCACTTTGTGAGCAACCAGCAGGAAGCTGGGGGTGGGGGTGGGGGCGGAGATAGGAGGGAGTGAGGGCAGGACCTGTTGAGACTGGGAGAATGGGTGGGGTTGTAAGGAAAAGCCAGAGCCTTCCAGGGAAAGTTCCAGTGGGAAGAGACTAAGTAGGAGGAGCTAAAGGTACAGGTAGGAGGCACTAGTCTGGGAGAGCAAAGAGCACCTCCAGCTCTCAACACACAGCTGTAAATTCCCACATGGGACTGGCTGTATATAGGGGTCTCCAGTCCAGCTTGGCCATGGGAAGGAGGGTGCCTGCTTTCAGTTCTAGACCTTAGGCTAGCTCTCAATTATAGGAGGCCACATGAGTAGAATGGGTGGTGTTGCGTCCCTGCCACAAGCTGAGCTAATTTCCTTGGCCCCATTCCACCCTACCAATCCCTTGCCAATTGGTCAAGGCTTGAGGAGGGATGAAGTGTTGGGAAGAAATAAGTACTGAAAGAGGAGGTTTCTCCCTCCATGAGTAAATAGCCAAATCTAGAAGAGGCTTCTCAGTTTGTTTGGGATGGGGTGGGGGTGGGGGGGGTCAAGGGTTCTGGAGCTGGCCTTAGGAGGACTAAACCATGTAGTCTCCTTGTCAGAGGTCCACATAGCTCTACTCCTGCATCCCTAGACAAACTAGGTAAGAGAATTAGTACTGAAGAGTAAAATGCATCCTAGAAAGGGAAAGGAGAGAATCTGAGTATTTCCAAGCAGCTGTGAACTGGGTACTCTGAATGGGTGCTTGTGTATTCATTGTGGGTTTAACTGGTCCCTCAGACTAAGAACTACATTCCACTACACCTGTCTTCTCTTCTCCTAACATCAGGGTCTGTGAAGATATTCATGTCCCCTGTGGCATCAGCAGGTTAGCCTGGAGATTACCTGTCAGTCTTAGCATACACCAGTATGGCAGTAAAATGTGACAGTTTAGAACACAAGTTCAGAAGTTTGAAAGTTCTGGATACAGATCCCAGAGAGCCTATGTGATTTCTGAGCCTTGGGTTTATCTGTGAAGTATTTCAATGACAAGAAATTGTAAAACAACACACATCAAGAGCTTATTAGCTTATTTACAATGTCTAGCACTGAGTGAGCACTCCATGAATTGTAGCAAGTACTACACTCAGAGATTTCATGCTGGGCAGTAAGTAGAGACTGGAGGGCAGGACAGTAGTAGGCACCAAGATGTTAATAAGCCCTATTGCATTTCCACTAGGAATTCTCACAAGGTGATAGATATCTAGGTGTGAAACTAACCCCTGGACTGGACTCATAGCTCAGACCAAGCTACCCTGGAAGAGCACAAGGCAGGCAGGAGTCCCAGGGGATCCAAGTGCAGTGTGAAGTTTGAATCTTTTAATGAATGGGAAAGAGCATAAGTGGAAGAAAGAGGAACACACCAGACAAGTAATTGGGAGTCAGTGATAGTGACATACATTCCTCCATTGCTCATGAACTTTTAACTTACCTTGACAAAGTTCAGAGGGGAAAGCGTATTCATGAAGAAACTGGTCCATGGGTCTTCAAAAGCAGTATCAGAAAGAAGGCTTATGATTCCAGAATTCATTTCCTGCAAACTGACCATTCCAAGTTAGGCGCATCCCTGGGCCTGGAGGATACTGCTTTTCCCATAGACATATGGTACTGTCTTCATCAGACTTTCAGACCTGGGTTCTGATAACCAAGATTTCTCCCTTCCCTAGCTATGTGGCTGTTTATCTCCAATCATGACCATTACTGACCCAAGACAAGACACATGAGGCTTAACTCAGTGAGGATGAAATCTCCTCACCTTCAGACTCCAAATGAAGGGAGGATGGGTTACATCAGCCCTCAACAAAGATGGAAGACCAAAGGGCCCTTTGGATACCTACCCAATGATATATATGTCCAGATTCAGGTTTTGGTTATTCAGTTGAAGTAGGTCACTGAGGTCCACAGTGGGGGCTGCTGAGGCCACATTCCATGTCACAACATGTATACTGTGGAAAAGACATTAAATGAAGTCAACAGAGAACAGAGGCTAAGGAATGGGCAGGAACCTGGGCCTATTAATGGCTTCCACTACAGTGATCATGGGAAATGTGTCTGTACGTTTGTTAGTCTTGTTTTTGAGACTGAGTCTCATTATGCAGCCCTGGCTGGCCTCCAACTCCTTATGTAGATCAGGCTTGTCTGGAGCTTATGGGGATCAGACTTCTGCCTTCTAAGTTTTGGGATCAAAGTTGTGTACCACCAGCTTGTTTCTGCATCTTGTGGTGGGAAAAGAGGGAAAGGAGCAATGGACTATAAAGACTTCATCTTCCCTTTCATCTCCTGAATCAGGAATCTCTCCCCTTGAACTGACTCTTCCACACAGGTTCACAGCTGCCCATACCCCAGCAGCACCTGACACATCCAGCTGCCAAAGGGAATGCAGAAGGAGTTTTGCAAAGAAAAGGAACAAATGATGAGTTGGGTTGCTAGGAATTTGTTAACCCATTAGCCTTTCCAGCTATCTACACCTCATCGATCCTCTACGGTTCAGGCAGCAACTTTGTACTCCCTCTCCTCAACCCATGGGTTCCTAAGAGCAACAAGAAGATATGAGAGGTTAACTGTACTTGATCACAGGTCTCAGGGCTGCAAGAACAGAAATTTCAGAAAATAACAAAATAAACAGCACATGCCCTTCCACACGCCTACTTTAAAGATCCCTGGAACTCGACAAAGTCTTCATGGTGCCTAAGTATAAATTTCTAAGTAACAGGATTTTAAATATCTCAACAGTCTACTGTCTATTGGGAAACATAAGTTGGGGAATAACATTCCAATCTCGGCTCACTACAAGTCCCAGAGTATCAGGAGAAATAGCAGCTCTCAAACACCATGACATCCCATCAGAAGTTCAGGAAGGCAAAGACTTGTAGAGCCCTTGAGTGAGTATACTGCTCCAAGAAGCCCTCACTGTTCCCAGGACAGAGCAAGCTCAAGACTCTACAGAGATGAAGCCTGTGAGTTCCAGGAAGCCTGAAAGGAAAGGGCAGGCTGTTCTGAAACATCTCCTGTCCACCAGACCCTGTTCTTAGAGATACATATTCTAAGAAGCATGACTTGTAAAACACATTTCTTGGCTAGCTTAAAGCAACTTCCTGCCTCTCCCTATGAATATAAACAAAATAATACAAAAACTACCTTCTCAGGCTCTCTGAGGGACTGTTAGTTGATCTGTTTACAGTCTCCCCCTGCTGTCCAACAGAGGATTAAGACAGGTAACTCGTTTACTCAATGACTTCTTTTATTCTCAGGCACTTTAAGTGGATAAAGAATAAAAATCGGGATTTGTCATCCCTGTTCTCGGTTTTGATGATTAGCAGCCATTCCATGCACCATGATTTATGCTCAATTGGACGATTAGCGGTGTTCCTCGTGATTAAAGAGCAAGCATGAGACCAGGCTCCACTTCTCTAAAGGATCTTATCTAAATCTGATTTCGGATTTGTAGAGATCATAACCGGATCAAGAAGACCCCATGACGTACTGCTGATGCAAAGTAGGAACAAAAATCCTATTCTACAGCCGAAGGGACGAATGTCTTAGACACTTAGTAGTCTGTCTGTATCAAAAATCAATGGGACACTTGCCTGGGAAGCATCCGCAATGACCAACTAAGCAGCCCAAGTTTAAGACGGGCATCAGGTCTAACAGCCCATTCAATACTGGCCTGGCAGAGTCTGGGGGCAACCATGTAGGCCTGTCCTCTTGATCCCACTGTTTTTCGTGCCCAGCCCCACAAATCAGACTGGATCGAAGACAGCAAACCGTCAGTAACCGACCGGCCTACAAATGCGTCCTCACCCGAGTACATAGGCTTTCGGTGCGCTCGGCCTCCGTAGGCTCGCAGCCGACATCATTCCCACGCCGTGACCCAGTAGACTTGTGTCTCCGCGCTCCAGCCAGTGTGGGGCGGAGCAGCCCTTGGTGGCCAGTATCAGCTGCACTGATCCCTCTGGATTGTTTTTCTTCCGGATTCTGACTCTGCGTTTCGGCTTCCGTAGGAGGCGGATCGTGAGCGCTCAGGAGTGTGGGGTGCGGTCGGAGAAACAGAGGCGGGACTCTACAGCAGAGCGAAACGCCCAGAGGCGGAGCGGAGAGGGGCTCCGAGATTAAGAGAGGCGTGTCATCCGCCCCCGCTACCACACCGCCTTTACCGACGTGCGAGTGGGCGGCGGCATGGCCGCCTGGGCCCCCGCGCTACCAGCCTGCCTTGCGCGAGGGCGCAGGCGGGAGGAGCGTTGCGGGCGGAAATTGCTGTGGCGCGCGCCCTCGGGCTGGCTCGCGACCGTCACGCAGAGCGCGGGGTGTGTCCAGCCGCTTGGCCCTCCTCACCCAGCACCGTTCATTGGCACTCTCATAGGGGTCACAGAGCACTTGCGTTCTTTTAAGTGACTCGCTGATCATTGGTTTTATTTCCCCAAAGCAGTCTCGCTGTTATGTTTTGGAGATTGTTATGCAGACCAAGCCGACCTCCCACCTCAGAGTCGAGATTACATGAGTGCAACACTATGCCAACCTCGAACCTAGTTTTGCTGAATACAAAGCACATTCTCGGGTTCCCGGACTCAGAAAATGAAAAACAAGTCGTGGCTCCTATTTGGTGTGTATTTATTCGACTGATCATGATTATTTACTTTGCCGGACTCACTTCGATTTATTTTTTGGTCTTTGATTCTTAATTCCTTGAAGGCAGAGGCATTGTTTTCCGAGTTGTTTTATCATGAGATTCACACACAGGCAAGTCTCGTTTAAAGATCCTGCTTTTGGCCGGGCATTGGTGGCACATGCCTTTCATCCCAGCATTTGGGAGGCAGAGGGCAGCCTGGTCTACAGAGCTAGTTCCAAGAGAGGTTCCAAAACAATTCAGAAAAACCCTGTCTCGAAAAACCAATAAATAAATAAAAATTCTGCTTTTTAATACCACATGGTGGGTCACACCTGTAGTACCAACTGCTCAGTGATGCCCAGTCTCAGGAGCCCACAAGCATCCTGCTATTTTAAATGTATATTCTGGAACAAGGTGTAGTGGTGTGTATCTAATTCCAGGACACTGAGGTAGGATGATTACTACAAGTTTGAGGTCACCTTGAGCTGCCTTAAAGAGTTACAGGACATCAGTGCTGTGATGTGATCCTTTCTCAAAACTGAGGGGGAGGGGGCGGGGGCAGCCTCTGCTACCAAGTCTTAACACCTGAATGGAGACAATCACTCTAAGTTGTCCTCTGACTTCTACATGCAGCCATAAACACAGTAATTAAAATATAAGGGCTGGAGAGGGCTCAGAGCACTCCAGAGGACCTGGGTTTGGTTCTCCTCACCCACATAGCGGCTCATAACCATCCTAATCCAGTTCCAAGGGATCCAAGATCCTTTTGATTTCTCTGGGTACGAGGCATGCCCGTGGTACACATTACTCTTAAAGAAAAGTAAAATTAAAAACAAAACAGCAGTCTTGGGACTGTTGTCCAGTGAAGTGAGTAAATCGGTCTAGTATTCTCTTTAGAGCAGGCTGACTCAAATACAGAGATCCACCTGCCTCTGCAATGCTGGGATCAAAGCCCTATGGCACCATGGCCACCCTTTAAACAAGATTTTTATTTTAACTGTGGGGATGGGGGGGGGGCGGTGGACAGGAGTGCAGGTGCCCATCAAGATTGGAAGCATCTGGAGCTGGAGTCACAGGCAGTCGTAAACTGTGATGCAGGTGCTGGGAAATAAACTCAGGTCCTCTGAAAGAGCAGTATATGCTCTCAACTGCAAGCCATCTCTCCAGCCTCTAAAGGGTAATTATTTTTTCCTTTTCCAAAGCTCAGGCATGCTTTTCCTGATGCTTTGGGTTCTTTCTCTCTTCCTACCCAACCTCTTCACCATGGGGCTGCTCACAAAAGGGTTAGTCTTCAAACAGTTGCCAAGATTTACAGTTTGCCTGCCCTGCTGTTTTCCCTCTCAATCTAATAAACTGTCCACAGCTTAAAAAAGGAAAAAAAGAAAAAAGAATAGTGAGCTGGTGATGCACACCTTTAATCCCAGCACTGGGGAGGCAGAGGCAGGAGGATCTCGGTGAGGCCAGCCTGGTCTACAAAGTGAGTTCCAGGAAAGTCAGGGCTACACAGAGAAACCCTGTCTTAAAAAGTAAGTAAATAAATAAGTAAACAAATAAAATGTGTTGCTTAGTAGACTAAAAGAGACAAAGCAAAAATGACTGAGATGTGCATTGTTGCATAAGTAAATTGAACTGACAAGAGAGTATTTTAATGTGACCTTTTCCATGTCTGTTAGGTAAGTACTACCACTAAGCTATTCCCCCAGCCCAAATGGATGTGATTTTTTTTTTGGACAAGGAATACTTTATTTACATAAAATAAATTTCCAGAGACACTGCTGTATCTTTTCATAACCCTGCCCTGGTAAACTGGGAAGACATCAGTAGGAGCTTTAAGGATATCTAAATTGGAAAACAGACATAGGAGCATCACTAATAAGCTGGACTCCAAAAACTCTGTCTAGGATTTTATTAGACTGCTTTTTTCCCCCAATATACCTGTATTGGAAGATTGAGACAAAAAGGCACAAACTCACATTAAATCAACATGGTATTCTAGTCAGTTCTACAAAGTGTGGTTTGTAAAAGAAGCAGCACTAAGAACAACCCCAAGCAAGTCAGGGTCCCGGTGGGGACTGGAAAAGGAGAACTTGGATATACACATGCCCACAACAGTGACCCAGTCCTATCCTTCCCCAATGCCTCTCCACAAGGAAGAAGGTCAGCAGGCCTTGTGCAGAGGCATTGCTGCTTTTAGTTTGCTGTAGGACCCTGGAAGTCTAATGAGCACAGCCAGTCTTAAGGGGCATGACACCCTCAGGGATTATCACCAGTCTTGAGCCCTCTGAATGAGAGTCGATCTGGGGGGCAGGTAAGGAAAGGGGATATTTAAAAGCCAACACTTGCCCAGCAGCAACACCATCCATGAGGATGGGACAAATGAAGAACATCCCTCTTTTGTGTTTGCTTATGTGAGCAGGAGCCCTAAATCCAGACTAGTCTCAGGAAATTCTTGTTCGTAACATTTGGGTGCTTTCATATATGGGCAACAGGTGGCGAGGCAGGAGGAGCTAGAGCAAAGGCATATAGGAGCAAGCCCGAACTGAGCTGATGTGACTGATATGTGTGAATCTCAAAGAAGTGCTGAAGGAGACCAACATCTGACCTCACGCCACATAACAAGTGTCTGCTTAGAGTATGAGTTTCCCTCAAGATAACTCACTTCTGAACTTCAACCTAATTAATGAAGGAAAATCTTTAAGCACAAATATGATTGACAAGTAATACGGAACTTGTAGGTGAACATTTATATTTCTCTCCATTAGGAATGCCTCTTCTCCAACTTTCCCATACTACTAGCAGCTGAGATGCTGATCACCATCCAAGGGTTTGATCCTAGGATTAGAGAGCCACAGAACAGTCCCGAGTTTGTTTCTAAAGACTCCACAAAATGAGGAGACTAATACAGAGGAGGTTTCTATAGCAGGAAATCTCCTGGTCTCAAAAGAACTCAATGAAGATCAGAGCTAACCATTCTGAGGAGCCCAAATCTGTCCACCCTTGCTCCAAGAAGACCACGGGTAGGTATCCAATCAGAATCTCACAGGTACAGTACTGTGAGACACTCCCTTATTGCACTTAGAAATGAGTAAGGCAAACAAACCAACAAAAACAAGCATCAATGACTCCATCTTATCTCTTCCTCCCTAAAAGAGACTTGGTCTCTCTAACAGATACCCAGGCTAGCATGGGCTGGCTGACTAAACAAGGCTTGGGAAATGTCAGGTGACACATGTAGCTCACATTCTCCCTCCATGAAGGCATACTCAGTTTCTGCCAATCTAGAAAAACTAGGAGGTGCTCAGCAGCTTCCACTCCCTGGAGCCCGGGATTCTCCAGCTTACAGTGGAAAGAGTTCTAGGCTACAGTCACTGCTTGCCTTTGATTGTCCAGTACAGAACTCAGCATGGGACAGTATGGGCTGAGTTCTAGATCTGCAAACTCCTTTCCAGTGATTAGAAACAGGAAGGGACGTGTTTTGCTAGGGAAAAAAGCTTTTGGCATGCTTGTTTTGTGCAGCATGAAGAGACCAGGACTCTTGCATCCTAACCAGCCTCAAAGAGGACAGGGACCTACAAAAGCACAGACATAGGATTATTGCTGAGTGGCAGCACCAGTCCAGCAGGGGAGAGGAGCATGGACATACAGAGCTCAGGGTCTGATCGGCATCTACAGCCCACACTAGACAACTCTCCAGGTGGAAATGATGGGTTTCTTGTAGGCTCTGCAAAGAGATTCAGACAGAGTGGGCAACAGGAGGACTGAGAAGCCAAGATAATCTAAGCCAAGATTAACCAGAGATACAATGACTTGAGTAGGGGTTATTTATTATTTGCTAAATTTCCTTAGACTGGCTGGGCCTTGGGTACTTTCTTGGTGCTTAGAGCACTTGAACAAGAGATTACTATGAGAAGAGGTCAGGGTTATGAAGCCACATTCCTACTGTGTGGAACTGGGGACAGGTATCTCTGTATTTTTAACTCCTCCTCTCTCCCCAAGTGAATACTCAACATTGCCAAAGATCTGCCCAGGAAGCAAAATAGCTCAGGCTGAAGTAAGTGAAGTAAGTGAGCTTAAATAATCACATCACAAAAGGCAGCTAATTTGAAAGACTAAAAATGTCACTTGGAAATAAAGGGGGAGATACAGAAATGGGTCAGGACACAATGGGGAGAGGGGTGAGCTGTAAATACAGCAGCTTACACCATATATCTTAGAGGATCAGGCTCCCGCACACACAGGCTTTGTAATACCAGACGGTCTATTTGTTCACAATGTTAAAGGGCATCTAGAAATAGCTACAGTAGGGGATTGAAAGTTGCCTGAAGAATGAGCACAGAAAGGCTGCATCCAAAGACGGCCTGCCACTCAGGAGGGTGGAGCTGCTGGGCCTTCCTGTTGACCACTGTCTTGCAAAACTAGAAAAGAAATAGAAAACGTTAAGGAAGCAACAAGGGAAATCAGAAGCATACAATAAATCATGAGTGGAGGAACTGCAGGAGGAAGGATGCCAACTGGTGGAGGCCCTGGGAAGAGAGGGGACTAAGACCCTGGTAGTGACTGCATAACAGGCATCTTCTTAATCCTTCCCTTCCATCTCCCAGAAGCTGCTTAAGAACATGGGTTAGGCTGGGGATAGACAGTGCCTGTGTGGAATGCACACTGCCCAGGTTTGATCCTCAACACTGGAAGAAAAAAACCATGGAACAGCCAGAGAGCAAAAAAGGCCCTAGGTTTCCTTAGTCTCTTGGTGCTAGAGTATGCTCAGTCTTTGAGCAAATAATTTCCTCACAGTCTAAGTGGGCCAGAGCAAGGCGTTCCATTCTGTGCTGTAGAATGTGTCGTGAAGTATACAGGCACATTGGAGAAGAGTCAGCATTGGGATCTAACGGAGGATGGGCCTTGGGGAAGAATGACAGGTAAAACAAGGGACACCCCATCTTGGCCCTATGACCTGGTAAAAAGTTTTCCAGCATCTGGAAGATGTTGCCTTTGTTGAAGACAGTGCTACTTAGTATATTAGTACCAAGAGGGTATCAAATGTGGAAGTAAATGCTAAAGCTGTCCAGCCAGTTTTCCAAGAGAAGGGTAGGGAATACCAGTGTTAGGGAACTAGACTTGATGCTGGCACGAGCACAGGAAGTGACCCGGCATGCCAGCTCAAGTCACAAGTGGAAAAGAGTGATTAGTGGCAAGGAACTGCCACTGCACACCACTCCACTGTCGCCAACCTTCCCATGTCCATCTGCATGGGTCATTATAAAACATGCCCCGAAAGCTAAGAGCCATGACTCCTTTCCATGGAGACACAGGAGTTCAGTCTTTAACAGTCATCACCATTATTAGAGTAAAGGATGAGGAATGGAGTTCCTCATTCTACAGTGAAAAAGAAATTCAGTACATACAGTGCAGAAAGGGGTGGGGTGGCATTAGTCATCTGCTGTCATTCCTTTCACTGGGTCCTTTTGTCTCATCTAGAACAGAAAAAAGCAGAAAGAAACTGAAAGCTTTTGTTGCTTATGGAACCCCACCATAAATGTACCCTGACTTCTCAGTCCTGCCAATAGATAGGACAGAACATTTGCATGTGTGCACAAAGTAAAAATAAGAAGAGAAGCTAGGTAATACGCCTTAGATCCCAGAACTTGGGAGGCAGAGGGACCTCTGTAAGTTCAAGGCCAGCCTGGTTTTTGGAGCAAGTTCTAGGACAGCCAGAGCTGTTACACAGAAAAACCCTGTCTTGAAAAGCAAACAAACAGAAATATTAGTTTGCATAAATCATACCCCAGCCATACCATTTATAGTTCTGTCACAGGTCTGACCATCCTCCACAACTTAAAATTCACTAAGGATAAGCCAGGACCTATTTTCTTTCTGCTTTTATTTATTTACTTTTTTGTTTGTTTGTTTTTCGAGACAGGGTTTCTCTGTGGCTTTAGGGGCTGTCCAGAAATGAGCTCTTGCAGGCCAGGCTGGTCTCCAACTCACAGACATCCGCCTACCTCTGCCTCCTGAGTTGTGGGATTAAGGGCATGTGCCACAACCTCCCTGCAGACTTAATTCTTAATTTTTATTTGTTTTTATTTTTGAAGCTCAAGGACAATTTTAGTGAAGTTTAAGTTAAAAAAAAAAAATGCTATGTGAAGATCCTAGCATGCCAGGAGGAAATGGAGAGAAAAAGCATGCCCTTTAAGTTCAGGTATAAAATAGAAATAGATTACTTATTGTTATTTTAAGTGCATAAGTATTTTGTCTGCTTATGTGTATCTGGTGGCTATAGAGGGCAGAAGAGAATGTTGGGTCTTGTTACAGAGGGCCCTAAACTGCCATGTGGGTGATGAGACTCGAACCTCAGTCCTCTGCAATAGCAACAAGTGCCCTAAACCACTGAACCATACATATCTCTGGCCCCTAGACTGCTTATTAAGAAAGGAAAAGTCTCAAGATTGACAGTGGGTTAGTGAACTGAGAAAGTAGCCCCCAAAGCCTATTAATTTTTAAAATTAAAATTATTTTGTGGATATGTGAGGATGGGGAGTTGGGCAAGCGCATGCCATGGTACACATGTAGATGTCAGAGGACAACTTTCAGGAGTGGATTTCTCCTTCCATTTTTATTGAGTTCCAAATACTGACCTTAGATCACCTGCTTCTGTTCCTATTAAGACAACAGCGCTTCTTGGTGCTAGAGTTGGCTTAGCAGTTAAGAGTACTTGTTGCTCTTGGCAGAGGACCTGGGTTCGATTTCCAGAAACTTGTAACATGGCAACTTGCAACCCTAACTCCAGTCCTATGGGACCTAGATTACTCCTTTGGTTTCAATAGGTACCAGGTATACTTGTGGTGCACATACATACATGCAGGCAAAACTCTCATAAACATAAAATAAATCAATCTAAAAAGATTTCTTAAAAAAAAAAAAAAAAAAGATGCAACTTTCTATCAAAGAATGTGGCCACTTCCCTTCCTGCCAAGGGACAGGGGTGCTACTGAAATAACTTACTGTCTCATTGTTTTAGGCTTGTAGTAAAATGTCCTAAGAATGCTTATTTCCTGTTCCTTGAAACATATATAATATGAAGGGTTTTATTTTGCCTTGTTTTATTTACTTATTTATTTTCCGAGACAGGGTTTTTCTGTGTAACAGCCCTGGCTGTCCTAGAACTTGCTTTGTAATCCAGGCTGGCCTCCAATTCACAAAGATCTAGCTGCCTCTGTTCAGTGTCTTTATTTACTTATTTATTTGTTTGTTTTGTTTTTTTGAAACAGGCTCCTACTCGTAACCCTGGTGGATCTAGAACTCCCTATGTGAAACCAATGATGGTGCATGTCTATAAATCAAGCACCATCGGGAATTTGAGGCCTGGGACCTCAGATGACTGCAATGGTTTTTCATAACCCTGTCTCTCAACTCAGAGTTTTATTATTATTTTGGGTTTCTGAAGCAGGGTCTCATGTTGGCCTCAAACTCAGAATGACCTTTACCTTCTCATCTTTCAGCCTTCACCTTCCCAAATGTCAGGACTACAGGCATGTGTCACCATGCCTCTCTTTGGCTTCAGTTTTTGTTTGACACTTAAATATCACAATAGTCCTGAGAAGTTAAATTGTATTTAAAAATAAAGCTACTATTGTGTTTTATATTAATACAGTGGCTGTGTGGCAGAGCAGTGGTGGTATACACCTTTAATCTCAGCATTTAGAAGGCAGAGACAGGTCGATATGTGTGAGTTCACAGCCAGCCTGGTCTACAGAGTGAGTTCCAGGACAGGCTTCAAAGCTACACAGAGAAACCCTGTCTCAAAAAAAGAAAAAAATTAAATAAAAACAAAACAAAAACACTGGCTGGCACTCTAGGCAGTGTGGTCTGAGATGCATATCTGTCTGTAAGGTCAGAGGAAATTAAGATGAGAGCTTGCCACTGCAGCTTTTTAAAATATATACTGTGTGTGTGTCCATGTCACGGCTAGAAAGGACCAGACTTATAACAGTGGTAACTGTAACCCCTAAAAACTAACTTCACATGCTAGAAGAACAGAAAGGATTCCTAAATGATGTCTTCTGATCTCCATACACATGTGTATACATACACATATAAAACAAATAAATGGAGGTTGAGGTTTTTGTAATTTAAGATCTGCTTGCCTCTGCCTCCTAAGTGCTAGGACTAAAGATGTGTGTCACCATCACCTAGCTTATAATTCTTACTAAAAATTTGTAATTAATTATGACACAACAGACTGAATACCACCTGCTTTTATCTCTATTTCTCTTCCAATTCCTACTACAATGATAGCAATATTACTTTAGAAAGAAGAAAATAAGAGACGGAGGGCTGAGGAAATGGCTTGGCAGTTAAGAGCACCAGCTGCTCTTCCAGAGGACCCAGGTTCAATTCCCAGTACCTACATGGTAGTTCACAATAGTCTGTAACTCCAGTTTCAGGGGAATCTGACAATCTCACACCAATGCACATAAATAAAATTTTAAAACTTAAAGAGAGAGAGAGAGAGAGAGAGAGAGAGAGAGAGAGGAGCATGAAGAAACCACAACAGAGACTACAGAAGAGATAAAAGATAGGGACACTCAGAGCGAGGGACACTGACTCCTAAAGTGTCCCTGAGGGCCCAGAGCCAAGAAGTAGCCGACCAGTTGATGCCACAGACTTCCTAGTGACTCTGCATCTGGAAGTTGCAGACTACCCCATAGATGGGAGTGTCATGGGGTCACACAGAGAATCCTTAGGACTTGATACTCACTCTTGCTGCTCTTGAAGCCAAGTACCCCCTGCATTTCCTGCCCCAGCTAAAGCCTCCATTCTGCGGGCACGCTGGGACCTCAGGTAGGGACAAAACGGGCCTGATGTAGAATAATCTGTGAGCTCAAGGCCAGCTTACTTTACAACAGTTCCAGGCCAGCCTGGGCTACATAGTAAAACAATGCCTCAAAAAGAAAAGAAAGAAATAAGGAAGGGAGGAATGAAGGAAAAAAGTTAGAGTAGAATATGGGGTTTATTTGGGAAAGAGTGATAAAGTCATAAGCACTAAATAACGAGTCAACCAAATTTCATGACACTGAAGAATGAAAAGGAAGAGTATGTGATTGGTAATCGAGCAAAATCTCCCATGGCAGAAGTGAACAGTAAATACCTAAAGTTAAGAAATTAGCAGGGCCCACACAAAGTGGTTGAGCAGGCAAAGCATCAGCCACAAGCCTGAAAGCCCAGGTCCGCCTCCCAGAAGCCACTTGCCGAGAGGAGAACTGAGTACCCAAAGTTGTCCCCACAAGTTTCAGGGCATGTATGAACCTACATAGATAAATACAGCAAGTAAATAAGTAAAATGCAAAAGAAAAATTCATCTTTAAAAATTAAAAACAAATGAACTTGAAAAGACTATTATAAGCAAATAATTTAAAAATACAGAAGTATGGTGGTGGTTCACACCTCTAATCCCAGCACTTGGGAGGCAGAGGCAGGCAGATCTCTAAGTTGAAGGCCAGCCTGGTCTACAGAGCAAGCTCCAACACAGCCATGGCTACCTAGAGAAACCCTGTCTTGGGTAGGTGGGTGGGGAGTTTGAGGCCAGCCTGAGCTACAGACCCTGTCTTTAAAAAAATTCTTATAAAAGCTTTGTGTAAATGGTATTGGAAATCAAATCCAGTCTTGTGCCTACTAGACAAGTGCTTTACCACGAAGCCATATCCCAGCCCAACAAATAAATTTAGATGAGAGAAAAACAAGCTAGGGCTCAAATTAGCACACGAAGGCTTGTACAATCGCTAGAGTTTAAAACATGTTCCACAATGACTCGGAGATGGCTTTTACTCTTCCATTACAAGTTCATTTTAAAATTCTAATTCCAAAGAGGTTGCTTGCATCCACACTTCCCCTGGAATGCAGTGAGCATCTCAGCTGTTGGCACAACCCTCTATAGAATGGAGGGCCACTGCAAGTAGGAGTGGGCACTACCTCTGAGGATTTACCAAGTTTGAGGTGTGAGGAAGGCAGATCCCTGAGATCACCTGCAGACTTCTAAGGATTAGAGCACAGTTCTTACTTATTTGCTTGCTTGTTTATATGCTCATTTATTTATTGATGCTATGGATTAAACCCCAAACCTTACCCATGTTAGCATCTCCATAGAACATAGAAAGAGTAGTAAATGCTTCCACAAAACCCAATTACTTTATCCTGACCACGCCAGGCAGGGATGACTGAACATTCCCTGTCAAATCCCAGTTAAAATCTTTCTGCTGCTTCATTTGCTAACTGTTTTTATTGTTGTTGTTTTGGTCATGACTAGGGTGACCAAAAGGTTCAAGCCTCTCTCTCATTCAGAGAGAATCAGCAAAGCCACTCAGGTCTATAACTTCCTGAGGACTCTTAAAAGAAGCAGGGACTGTGCCCCAAATTCTGCAACTTGCTTCTTATATGTGGCTGAATGAATAACCAGAGCATTCACCTTGAGCAGGAACCAACTTGCACAGCACTTACCAGTGATTGAGTCAGCCTAGGAAGAATGTCATCACAGAAGTTAAAAACAGTTCCCAGCCTGGGAGACTCTAGAAGAAAGAAGGGCTTCCAAGCCCAGCTTCAACCCTAGACCAGCACCAGGAAGTCCTGACGTGTGTCCCATGTACTACAGCACCTGAGCCAGGCCCTCAGTTGAGGCCTGGCAAGAGAGTTGGGTGAGGCCGCTGGACAGTGCATCCTCTGCTGGACATTAAGCCGATGCAAGAGCGATGGATGTAGCCACTAAGAAACAGGGGCTCCCTGACTTAAGAGAGCACATGTGACCCTAAGCCAGCTAGCACTGGGCTTTCATCCTGTCACCCACAGGTCACGGCAGTGCTTAGGTCTCAGTCTTCCCTGCCTCAGCTGAGGATGCCTTCTCACGCTGCAGGACAGAGTATGCACAAGCGCAGAAACCAGTGCCTGGTGCTTTTCACCGAGCACCTCCTCTAAGTGGGTCTCTTGGGGATGCTTCCTTAAATGAGGCAAGAGTGCTGGGTCTTCAGGCTCCGAGAGAGCACATTGCCCTCCTCCTGGGATCTATATCAAACTCAAAAACACCTAAACAAAAGTCAAAAAACAAAAATATCCTCCATGCTACAAAAAGAGCTCATAACCACACAGAGCAGTGGGCTTCTGCATGTGCTATGGCTGCCCTCGCTGCGGGTTGCTATTGGCAGAACAGCCTAGCCTGCCTGGCCCCAGGGTCACCTCAAGTTCCCAGCCTAGCACCATCCCCCACACTGAGGAATCACTGCAGCGGCTGCATTACTCACTGGCATCAGGCAGACTACCATATTTGTCTCTGCGGCTGTGCCAAGACCTCAGCCTCACTGTATTTGCGAGCACAGGCTGTTCTTCTTATAGTTCCCATAGTGCTTAGCAATAAGTTTATCCACAAGAGGGCTGGACTTGTCCTTCGAACAACAGCATGATAGCATGGTGTCCTTAGATGTGTCCAAACACCAGTCTCCTTAACAGCCACCCTTCTGAGTCCCCTGCGTCCCACTCACCTCATCCAGCTGTCTCTTTGTCTCTTCTTCCATCCTCCGAATGTCATCCATAGTCAGATCAACCCATTTATCAAGCCAACAGAACAGCTGCCTGTGAAAGTTTGTAAACAGACGCTTCTCTTGCTATAAAAGGAGAGAAGTGAGTCAGAACCCCAAAGGTAAAAGCTCCTGCTCAGTCCCTCCCAGGGTATCCACTAACACCCATAGTTTAATAGGGTAGAGGGTAGGAGTGATGGCTGGCTGCCTTACCTGGATCAGACACAGCTCAATGACCTCTGCCTTCCTGTTTCTGGCAGGTAAGTGTTGCAGTAAGGATGGCTGACCAAATACTGCCAAGACAGGCTGATCTGGCCAAGCCAAGGCCCCTAACAATGGCTGCATTTCCTACTGTGTCTGGTCCCTAACGCCAGGTTATGACTAGCCAGCATATGAGAAGTGATTCAAAAGTGTGATTCTAATATATGTGAGAATTAAAAAGCTTAGGTCTGTCCAGTTCTGTAACTCAGAACACTGTGCCTCTTGCCTTTTGGCTTCAAGAAAAAGGAAACATTTTATTTATACTTCAACCACAGCAAATCCTTTTTTCACCTCGTTTTTTTTCCTTGTCACACGTGGTGATGGACAGCATTAAACTGTAGGGCAGTATGTGCAAGGGAAAGGAAGGGATAGCAAAGCAAACCAGAGATTCCAACAACAGGTCACTGCTACTGGGCCAAACTGCTTTCCCCAACACAGAGACACAGACATACGGAAAGGCTCCATCCTGCATACTTACCTTATGTATAAAGTTTTCCACTTTGTTCTGCAAGCCCCACCACTTGAACTTGACAGTAACCAGTTTGTATGCACACATATATGGGCAGTCTTTCTGATTTACAAGTTCTTGCTGCATTAAAAAATACCCAGAGGCAGGCTGGTAACTAGACAGGCTGTCGGAACCCCAGAACCCTACTCACCCTACTCACACCCTCCTCCATGAGGAGGGACCCACCCACAGCATGCCTGGCCCCCTGGTGGTAAGGGTGGGAACTGTACCTTCCAATTTGGGCCCAAAGGTCCTCGTCCTGTTTTGACAGATTTAAATTTTGCTGGGTCTTCTTCTGCCTTGTAGTCCTAAGAATAGCGGAAGAGAGAAAGTGAAGGAGAAAAGGAGGACGAATATGAAGAAAGAGCAAATTTTTCATTAGACAGCCATTTCATACCAGTTTTTTTGGTTTGTTTGCTTTGAGATAGGGTTTCTCTATGTAGCCCTGGCTGGCCTGCACCAATGAATTAGACCAAGCTGACTTCAAAACAGACATCCTTCTTCTGATATCATGCCCAGCATTAGTGATTCTTGAAGTTGGTGGTATACTTCAAGTATGGAAAAATGTTATAGACAAGATATAGAACTGAGTTGTGGATAGTTTTATGTTAACTTGACCAAGCTAAAGTCATCTGAGAGGAGAGAACCTCAATTAAGAAAATACCTCTGGGCCTGGTGGTGGTGGCACAAGCCTTTAAACCCAGCAATTGGGAGGCAGATGCAAGCAGATCTCGGTGAGTTCAAGGCTAGCGTAGTCTACACGGGGAGAGAGAGTTCCAGGACAGTCAAGGGTACACAGAGAAACCCTGTGTCAGGGGAAAAAAAAAAAAAAAAGGAAAAGAAAAGAAAGGGAAGAGAAAAAGAAAACACCTTCCTAAGATCAAAACTGTAGGGCTTTTCTTGATTAGTGACTGATGGGGGAGGACCCAGTCCATGGTGGGTGGGGTTATCCTGAGCTGGTGGCTGAGCAAACCATGAGGAACAAGCCAGTAGGCAGCGCCCTCCAAGGCCTCTGCATCAGCTCCTGACTCCAGGTTCCTGCTATGTTTGGGTTCCTGTCCTAACTTCCTTTGAAGATGAAGAGGGATATGGAAGCATAAACCAAATAGACCCTTTCCTCCCCAAGTTGCTTTGGTTACGGTACTTCATCACAGCAATAGTAACTCTAGTTAGACAGACTGTTTAAATTTGCCACAAAGTCAAGGCCTGTGTGATGTTTTCTGCCAGGCTTGTTTGCAACTTTATCAGTATCAAAGTGTCAGTACACTGATCAAGCACAGTGTTAAAGTGTCAGAGATTTTTCAACTTAAGTGAGCATCCAAATTACTAGGGAAGATTCTCAAACTACAGATTTCTGAGCCATACTATCTAAATCACAGAGATTTAGAATGTCTTCAGTTGAGGACAACATGGATTTTTCTTTTTAAATTTTATCATCAGGGTAGTAAAGGGGCATGCCTTTGATCCCAGTACTAGGGAGGCAGAGTTCCAGGACAGCTAGGGCTGTTACACCGTCTTGGAAAAAAATTTCATTTGAGGCTGGAGGAGGATGTTTGATCCTTCGGAGCTGGAATAACAGGTGCTCTGAAAGAGCAACAGGCGCATTTAATCACTGAGCCATATCTATCCTTTTACTTCTTAAATTCTTATTGTTTATATTTTATGTGTGTTGGTGTTTTGCTATGGGTGTCTGGTACCCTGAACTGGATTACAGACAGTTGTGAGCTGCCATGTGGGTACTAGGTATTGAACCTGGATCCTACAGAAGAGCAGTCAGTGCTCTTAACTGCTGAGCCACTTCTCTAATCCTTAATTTTTTTACATTTACTTATTTGCGACTGTATATATGTACATGTACGTGTCTGCGTGCACACGTGTATGTCCACTCCTGCACTCATACACACTTGGCAGCTCACGTGTGGAAGACAAAGGACAGCTTCAAGACATGGTTCTTCCTCTTACTATGTGGGTCTCAGAGACCAAACTCAGGTCCTTAGGCTCAGCGAATTCACCTGCTGAGCCATCTTGACAGTCTGGGTTTTCCTTTTATATTGTAGCCCAAGATGATCTTGAACTTGTGGCAATCTTCCTGCCTCAGCCTTCTAAGCACAGAGATTAGCAGCGTGAGTCACCACACTTGGTGATTTTTCTTTTTAAACATGTCAGGTAGCTGGACACAGTGGCAAGTGTCTATAATCCCAGCACCTAGGATGTGGGGGTGGAGGGATGAGAAGTTCAAGGCCATCCTTGACTATATAGGGAATTCAAGGCACACCAGAACTACATGAAATAATGTTTCCAATAAATAAGTAAACGCATAAATCTGTTCAGATGATTCTAAACCACAGCCAGATCTGAGGACCGTTAGTCATCATTCTTAACAATTCCTAGCTTTATCTCCTGGTTTGTTTTAATAAAATTAATTGTTTTTGTTTTTCGAGACAGGGTTTCTCTATGTAACAGCCCTAGCTGTCCTGGAACTTGCTTTGTAGACCAGGCTGGCCTCAAACTTAGAGATCCACCTGCATCTGCTCCCCCAGTGCTGGGATTAAAAGCATGTACCACCACACCTAGCTAAAATCAGTATCAATGTTGACACTCCTAGAAGCTCACACCTCTTTACTTAGGCATGTACTTTCTTCTCAAGTGCCTATCTTTCTCTTAGTCCCTGTAGTTAAAAATCTCTTTTTAATAACTAACTCTGCTTCATCAAAGTTTCAAAAAGTGTTAAGATAGAGTGTCAGGTAAAGGCGCTTGCTGGTGGCCAAATCTAACCAACTAAGTTTCATCGTAGGATCACTCAGGGGAAGCAGAGCATTGACTCTAGAAGCTGGCCTCTGACCTCCACACACCTGCTGTGGTATATGGATGCCAATCCTTAATACACACAAAGAGTAAATAAGTAAATGATCAAATATAAATTTAAAAGTAAAAAGTAATTACTGGAAGCTTGAAGTATCTAATGTTTAGAATGTATCCTCTTGTGTATCACTAGGCAGGCTTCTTTTACTAATATCTGTCCATCTATCTATCCATTCATCTATCTCATTTAGATTTGTTTGTTTATTCTGTTTTTTCAAGACAGGGTTTCTCTGTGTAGCTCTAGCTGTTCTGGAACTCACTCTGTAGACCAGGCTGGCTTCCAACTCACATAGATCCATCTGCCTCTGCCTCCATAGTGCTGGGATTAAAGATGTACTCCCCACCTGGGCCTTTAATTTTGGATTTTGTTTTAGAGGCAGGACCCAATGTAACCAGACTGGCTTCAGACTCTCTACACAGCTAAGGATGAGCTTCCTTCTGCCCCGTCCCAAGTGATGCATAGGAACTGCAGACGTTTTTAAACGTATGAGTGTTTGCCAGCATGAATGTATGGACCATGTATGTGGTCTGTTGTCCACAGAGGTCAAACCACCTCAAAGTGGAGTTACAGATGACTGACTGTAAGTCACCATGTGGATGCTGGGAACAAGTGTGTTATACACTGAGCCATCTCTCCAGCCTCTTTACTTTTAAATGGAAATTGATTTTTAATACACACACACACACACACACACACACACACACTTATAACAGGGTCTCACTATGGAGTCATTGCTGCTCTAAAACTATATACATAGACTAGACTGGCCTCATGTTTTTAGAGATCCACCTGGGATTAAAGGCATGCAGTACCACATTCAGCTGAAATAAATTTTCTTCAAGACAGGGTTTCTCTGTGTAGTTTTTGAAGCCTGTCCTGGAACTCGAACTGTAGACCAGGCTGGCCTCAAACTCACAGAGATCCATCTGTCTCTGCCTGCTGCTGAGTGCTGGGATTAAAGGTGTGTACCACCGCCTTTGACCTTGTTTTTTTTTTGTTTTGATTTGTTTTGAGGCAGGGTCTCTCTATTTAGTCCTAGTTGTCCTGTAAGTAGACTGGACCCAAACTCACAGAAATCCACCTGTCTCTGACTCCTAAGTGTTGGGACAAAAGGCCTACAACACCATATCTGGTCAACATTATTATTTTTTGATATTCTCTCCACTCCCATAATAGAGATGAGACATTACTCAAAGAACCAAAGTTTTTATTATTCTAGTATTTATGAAATATATTCACATATTCAGTTTGAGAAAACTCATCTGACCATGTATTTGATGTATTCACTTTGCCGTGTATACTGTATTTCAATAAAAAAGATTGTTTTGTTTGTTGAAAGAGTCTCACTATAAGCCCAAGCTGCCCTGGGACACCTAATCATCTTGCTTCAGCTTCTGAGTAATACGATTCTAGGCATGCACCACCACACTGGGTATGCATCTTTGGGAATGCACCAATAAAAACATTTCAGTCATGGCTGGAAAGATGGCTCAATGGACAGAAGCTCTTGCCCAGCAAGTCTGATGACCTGAGTGAGTCTGATCTCTAGAAGCCACTATGGGAGAAAACTCAAACAGCTCTACTCTGATTTCACATGTGTATTTTATACAGATACAATAATGCTAAGTGAAACTAAGGACCAGTATGTAAAAGTATTGCCACACAAGCCTGGTGCCCTGAATTAGAGTCTACACAAAGAGAAGGACTCATCCCATCTGTTCTCTGATCCCCTCATCATAGGTGTGTATCTGAGTGTGCGCACATGGAGGTTAGGAGACAACTTGAGGAAGTCAGTTCTTTCCTTCTACCACCAGGGATCAAACTCAGGTTGTTAAGCTTGGTGGCAAGTATCTTTAATCACTGAACCAGGAAACTTAAAGTGAGTGATGAGTGTGTGTGTGTGTGTGTGTGTGTGTGTGTGAGAGAGAGAGAGAGAGAGAGAGAGAGAGAGAGAGAGAGAGAGAGAGAGAGAGAGAGAGAGCCCACAGCAGCCAAACCCAGGTCTTCTGCAAGAGCAGTAAGTGCTCTTAAGCCCTGAGCCATCTCTCCAGCCCCATGGCTCAGGGAACTCTTAGCACTGACTTTAGAAATAGCCATGTAAGGAAACTTAGTGAGACCCAATGTTAGCTGGGTAGTGGTGGTGCTTGCCTTTAATACCAGCACTCAGGAGGCAGAGGCAGACATATCTCTATGAATTCAAGGCCAGCCTGGTCTACAGAATGAGTTCCAGGATAGTCAGGACTACACAGAGAAACCCTGCCTGGATAAACTAAAAACAAGCAAACAGTCAAATAAATAAATAAGCCTGTTACCAGGTAAGGTGGTTCACAACTTTAATCCTAGCACTTGGGAGGCAGAGGCAGGTTAATCTCTGAGTTCTAGGTCTGCCAAGACAACACAGTGAGACCCTGTCTCAAAAAGGAAAACAAAAACACAAACAAAAAGAGTGCTGGGCGTGTCATTGAGTACTAGAGTGTTTCTTTAGCATGTGGGAGGCCCTGGGCCTCAACCAGTAGTACCATAAAAACAGTAACAACAATAAAACAAATGATGTATACCAGAAATTCCTTCTGCATCAAGCTGGGTAAGGTTCCCTGCTTTAACATTTATAAGTCATTTCTGCACCCCAAAGTCTTTTAAGGAGTCCCTACCTTGCTAAGTACTTGGCTTCGGTCAGCAATGTCTATATATATAGCTTCCACATGTTTCCATGTCTCAGGCTCCAGTTTATGCACCTACAAGAAAATGGGAGACCACTTGTTATGCACGTGCAGTTTTGTTAGCAACAAGCATCCTTTACCTGAAACAGGCAGCTAGAAACAGATTTTCCCACACCTCTGGTGGGATAGTCCTACTAGTAAAGAATTATACAAGGGTTAAACTTACACCTTTAATCCCAGTACTCAGGAAGCAGCACTCAGGAAGATCTCTGTGAGTTTGAAGCCAGTCTATTCTACACAGCAAGTTCTAGGATAGCCAAGACTACACAAAGAAACCCTGTCTCAAAAAAAACAAAAACAAAACAAAACAAAACAAAAAAAAAAAACCCAACTGACTATGTGACGGCTATTCTTGGCTGTCAACTTGATTATATCTGGAATTAACTAAAATTCCCAAACGGCTGGGTACACCTGTGAGGGATTTTCTTTAAATTAAATAATCTGAAGTGGGAAGATCGACCTTTAATCTGGGCCACACCTTCTGCTGGCAACCAATATGAAGGACATAGAAGAAGGAAGCACTTGCTCTTTGCCTGTTTGTCCTAACTTTCTCGCTGGCAATGAGAGTGAAAGTCTGTTCCTTCACTGGCATTAGAGCCTACTTCTTCAGGATTCTGATGGACACTGAAGAGCAGCTAAGACATCCAGCCTTGTGGAATGAACAACTACTAGATGCTTAAACCTTCCTTTGGTAAGCAGCCATTGCTGGACTAACAGAACCACAGCCTGCAAGCTGTTCCTCTACAGAACCCTGACTAACACACTCTCCCCTCTCAGTAGCAATTAAATGGCAATAGCTCCTCAGTGGAGGGATTTTTATTTTTTACTACTTATTTATTTTGGAGACATGAGACCAGGTCCATGTAATCCTGACTGTCTTGGAACTCTCTATGTAGAGCACACTGACCTCAAATTCAGGGATCTGCCTGACTCTGCTTCCTTCGGGCTGGTATTAAAGGCACCCACCATCATGACTAGCGATGGGAGTTTGCCTATCTTCCTCTATGATGGGATTTTGTCTGGCTAGAAGTTTTCACAGGTCTTGTTAAAACTGATGTGAGTTCATATTACTTTGCTGTGTCTGGAAAACATTGTTTTATCAACCACATTGTTTATCCATTCTTCTGCAAAGACCATTGAAGCTTGCAGGGAGGGATGTAATGTGAAGGTCTCCTTTAGAGACCTTTAGAGCTGAGCACTTCACAGTCTTATTCTCTGCACACTGATTGGCTGGGGGTCTCTCTGTTAATTGGCAGCTGCTGAGAGAAGCTCCTCACTGAAGAGGGTTAAGAGATGCTCTGATCTATGGGTATACCAGTGGTCATTTAATACTATGTCCATTTAGCAGAGCAATGGTTCTCCCAGGATCTATGACCTTTCCAGCCACTGGTTCTAACCCTTTAATATCCTGCTTTTTACAATGATCAATAGATACACGAGTATTTTCATCAGTTTCTTTTTAGTTTTCATTTTGGAACAAAGTCTCATTCTGTAACCCTGACAATCCTGGAACTTAGTATGTAGACCACACTGACCTCAATTCAGAGATCCACCTGCTGCTTCCTCTAGAGTGCTGGTGTGTACCACCACACCCAGCTCCCTCAGCTTTTCTGTTTTGTTTTTCAAGAAACAAAGTAGCCCAGGCCGGCTTCTACCTCCTGAGTGCTGGGATTAAAGGCATGTACCCCCAGCACCCAGCTTCCCTTTTTTTTTTTTTTTTTTAAAATGTTTTTCAAAATAGGGTTTCTCTGTTTAACAGCCTTAGCTGCCCTGGAACTCAATTTGAAGACCAGGCTGGCCTTGAACTCACAGAGATCCTCTTGCCTCTGATTCCCAAGTGCTGGAACTAAAGTGCTGGCGCCAATTACAATGTTTTTAAGACATTCTTTCTGGGTATTCAAAACTGCATTTTAGACAAGTCCCAGCTCTATAAGAAAACCCATCAAAGAATCTTAGAGATGACATTTTGCAAATCAATGACAGGAAATGCATTGAAGGACAATCTAGAGAAACCTTCGTAGCCAGGCAAAAGAGAAATCCCAGAGGAGCCTGTGGCAGGGCAGGAGAGGCTATAGGGCAGAGCCCCAGAGATCCACCAAGGGCCCAGAGCCACCAGGGGCTCTTGAGAGGTGATACTCACATTCTCTTGGGTGCCAAGATCCGGCTTGTGCCAGGTTTCAATTTTAATCAGAAAGTCTTCTTTCATGTACTCATTCTGGAAGAGGAAACAAATACCTTAGTGACCAACAAGGTTGGAGCTGGAAGACCACCACCTCCCATTACTGGGGATCATGCAAGCCTGGAGTTGAGAGCTGGCTTGATACCAGCCACCTCAATGTTATCCCTGTGGCCCCAGGACTAGGTCTGCTTCACACATATGCTCACCCTATGTTTACAAAGACAGACAATATTCAAAAATCTTAGGTGAGTTGGCCAAGGCCACAGAGCTATAGCACAGTGAGACAAAAGCCCCCCTTGTCTACATTTAGAATTCAGTATTTAACCAGGATGTAAATGTAACCAGCAGCCCACAAAGTGTCCTAGCTGAGGAAAAGTCTTCATGCTAGTTCCTTTCCCTGCATCAAGCCCTTTGTTGTAATTTTGTCCCCCTCCCTTGGTGCTTTTTTAAAAAATTGTAACACCTGTTTAAAACGCCATTTAGTAAAGGAGCTAACAAGGGAGAAAAAAGAGCCCACTGTTCCCTGCCAGGGATTTGTTCCTGCAGCAGGGACAGGAATTTGAGGGATTATGCTGAAGAGCTAGAGCTTGGGGTCAAGGGGCTGGTTCTGGAAGAGCAAGCTTGGTGATGTCACAATGTGGTCAATGGTCAGTGTTCAATGGGGCCAAGAGATGCCCAATGGGAAAGGGATGTCACATCCAGGCTGGCTGAACTGAAAAGTCTGTACAGCCCTGGGTAGACACAACCCCATGGTCCCTCTGAGACCCAGAGTCAGGTCTTACCTGGCAAAGCCACCACAAGCCAATGCAGTTAAAGCACTGACTGGCAAGATCCTCATTAGGACTGAAACACTTGAGCCTCGACAGCCCCAACATCACCAGAGGGGAACAAGAGACCAGCAGAACATCTAGTGCAGGTACACCTTTATTTCTTTTCTTGTAAATCATTTAGAACTCCAATCCCTCCTACCCCTCCCCTGCCAGAAATACTTACTGTAATAACTGCTCCGAGGTGAGGACATGAAAAAAGAAAGAGAAGATTAATAATGATGAACAGATGAAGAAGAACAAAGACTTCTCCATTCCCCATGGCTTCCTCCATAGTGACCTCTAGGCCCTAGCCTCAGTACATCAACCCCTCCTTCCCCTAAACTCACTCAAAGTCCCAAGAGACCAAATCTTGGATTTAAGATGATACCCCTTTGGGCTTCTTAGGATTGTCTCTGACCAGCTGAGGCCTTGAGGCCCAATCACTCTCCATGAGAGAATCGCTTGGGTACCCCCACCCCTGGGGAACACAGAACAGGGTCTTCTGAACTAGGCTGTCTTTTTGATGGTGGCATCCTTCCTCACACTGTAACCAAACCTCACATGCTCTACGCTCATGCCGCTGTAATGGGATCCCTCGGAAAGCACAGGTCAATTATTTATCAGAGAAAATGACTGCAGCTTCCATGTCATTGGGGAAGAGCCCAGCATCTCCTCCCAACAACAGTACAACAGCTTAGTTCATTCTGTACTCTACCCTGTGTGCTATCCAAATTTCTGGTAATGCATATTGCTGTTTTGGAGTACACAGACAGCCAACAAACTCCATCACTCCAGAAAAAGAAAAAGAAAAAGAAAGAAAAAAAAAAAAAAAAAAACCTAAAAAAGTAAAACTAACATTGCTTCGATAGAATGGGGAAGCTGACAGCATAAGGTCTATAAGTCACGTGTGCACAAACAGCCTAATCTGGGAGCACCAGATTAGGGTTAAAGTAGGGTTAAACTGCTCTATTAGCACCTTGAGAAAGTCATGTGGGGACAACAAAAATAACGGGTAAGAATATGCATCCAAAGACGCCAGTCTGCCAGAGACTCTGTCATGCTGTCACAGAGGCTGGCCTGAAGTGATGACCCTGGCCACTAAGCTTCTCCAATCAGCTACCATATTTGGACTCTACATTCTCTAAGACACCCACCTTCTCCTAGTCTGGCCTCTGTATGACAAAAGAATCTGCTCCCCTAACCAAGATGCCTGTTTGCCCCATCACATTGTTATCCTAGTTTTAATTTCATTTCTATATGGAAGATTCCCAAGGAAAAACGTCCTGATCAGCAAACAGTATCTAGTTTGATTCATATTCTGTATTTCACTATAACTGCAGTTTGATGTTTGAGATTTCTAAACCCATGAGGGTGAGGCCCCTGCTCTGGGCCTTTAGTATCAATTCAAGTGACTAACTTCCTCCAGTCCTATCCAATCACCCTTCCCTTCTAAACGTCTCTGTATCCACACCAACTACACAGGAAAATGGAGTTTCCCCAACAAGATTAAAAATGCATTTTGTCTTAAAGGTTTTTTTTTTTTTTTTTTTTTTTTTTTTGAGATGGGGTCTTGCTTGAAGTTGTGATCCTTCTGTCTCATCTTCCTGAATGCTGGGTTACAACCATTAACCACCATGTTCAGTTTCTTTTCTTTTTTTTTGTCTTGTTTTGTTTTGTTTTTGGAGACAGGGTTTCTCTGTGTAGCTTTGAAGTCTGTCCTGGAACTAACTCAGCAGTCCAGCTGGCCTCAAACTCAGAGATCTGCCTGTCTCTGCCTCCCAAGTGCTAGAATTAAAGGCATGTGCCAACACTGCCTAGCTCATGTCCAGTTTCTTAATGTGGTATTTTAAAAGCCTGACTTAGTAAAGACAAGGAAACATATTTCTCCCCTCCCATTTTCATTTATCAGCTAGACCTATCAGCTTCAGGAGAAAAGAGATGAAAATAAAGAGAACAGAAAAGATCTGATGATGGACAGAGCATACTAAATCTGTTTTCATTTCTCCTAGAATAAGGCTGGAGCCATTCCAAAGGCAGGGGGGTGGGGTAGCTCCATACATCTACCTCTCCTCAAACTTAACATTACTTAGGCCAAGCTGTAATGTTGGCACGAGTAACCTCTGTCCTGTCAGCCTTCAGAGAGGATCAGAAAGAAGCCCCCTCATGTGTTCTATCTTGTATTATAAAATAGGAAGTACTCAGATGAACAGGTCTAAAAGTCAACATGTTCATCTGTATCGAGTGGATTCAACTAAGAAGTTGGCAGCTACTAAGAAAACAGCTGGTCCTCCCCATCCACTGCCATTTCTGTTCATGCAGGATCTAGAAATTCTATTTTTCTTTCTTTTGTCAAGGATCAATGTGTGAAGTAACATTTACTCTGTAGACAACTGCCATGCCAGCTGCATGCCACAGCAGACAGTGGCATCTCAGTTGGCACAAGCTATATGTCCAGAAACCCAAGCTCCATCAGCCTCAAACTGACTAAGATGTTTATAACGCATGCTCAACATGACTATTAGACATCAAGGAAAGTCACCTTTGTCCCTATACTAGACACACCCTGTGCCACATTCCACTGTCTTTTTTCCTTCTTAATTTACTGTGCTGGAGAACAAATCCAGGGCCTTGGGCTAGAGTAAGCACTTTACCACTGAATTACATGCCCAAACCTAATCTGAACTTCTAGGGGTGCATTTACAGGGATGGAGATGTGATGGGGCTGGGGTTAAGACAGTCTTTTCTACATAGATCGGGCTGGACTTGCAGACATCCAGCTGTGTTTCCCAGGTGCTAGGATTACAGGACTGTACCACCACACCTGGCTCTTGCACTGATTTTCAAAACCATGAGTCCAAGCTCACCATGGTGCTGCATGCCTAGTGTTCAAGCACTTGGAAGGTGTGAAGCAAGGAGGGTCAGGAATTCAAGGCCAGTCCTAAGCTATAACACGAGCCTGGGTTACTTAAGACCTTCTTTCAAACATGCACAGCTCGCAAACACATGCACATACACATACACACTCTCAATTCTAAGCATGTAAAGCTTCCTATACAGAGTATAGGAAGAAATTTGTACTTTCAGCTACCACAATAAAACTGTCCATAACCTACATCCCACCATTGACTGTGTATTTCCTGGTAAAGGTCCTTGAATTGTATAGGACCAAGGAAGACTGGAGTGGGCAATGACTTCAGTTACTCCCAAAGTCCACAAGATAAGGACACACCTGGGTCACATAAGGATTACATGCCTATCAGATACAATCTAAGGAATAAACAGAAAATAGCCAGCAAAGCAGTACAGGTGAACAGAGGCTAGCAGAACCAGAGCCAGTCTGCCTGTGCCAACGAAGGAAGGCTGACCCTTCTTGAGGAAGGAAGAATGAAAGGAAAAGGGAGAGGGAGAAAGATGCAGGCGTTGTCTCTAGATAGTCCCTCAAACCTTAGAGTCTTCAAAAGCTGAGTCCATACTACTCAGAAGAAATCCCAGAGTGTGTTCTAGAATACAAAGGATCCCTACAGGGGCTCTAATCTTTCCTTTACTTTCCAAAACTCCAAATCAAAGATGATTCTACTTCCCTGCTACATAGCAAATTTCCTATATAGTCCATGCTGGCCTCAAATGCACAGAGATCCAACTGCCTCTGCCTCATAAGTGCTGGGATTAAAAGCATGCATTATCAAATCCAGTGTGTCTCCCAATATTTGTGATCTGTAGTTTATAACATTCATTATGCAAAGCCCATATATAATACTGGCCAGCTATACATTCACAATAGGATAGTATACTGCTATTATAAATACTAAGAAACAACAGGGATGCTGGAGAGAGATCTCAGTGGTTAAGAGCACTTGCCGCTATTGCAGAGGAACTGGATTCAGATCCCAGAACCCACAAGAGAGCTCATAATCATGTGTGACCCTAGTGCTGGGAGATCCAATATCTTCTTCTAGATCTGTGCCACCAGGAGTGGGCATGGTGCAAATATATACATGTAGGCAAAAAAACATATACAGTAAAACAATTTTTTTTTAATTTTTAAAAATTAGCAATTTTTTGCCAAGTAGTGGTGGTGCACACCTTTAATCCTAGCACTTGGGAGGCAGAGGCAGTCAGATCTCTGAGTTTGAGGCCAGCCTGGTCTACATACAGATCAAGTTCCAAAACAGCCAAGGCTACACAAAGAAATTCTGTCTTGAAAAACAAAACCAACCAACCAAACCAAAAAAAACAAAATTGTTGAACCCAAATGCAAGGAGTTTGCTCTGCACAGTCTCTGGCTATGACCATCAGCTGAGCTAAGTAGTGAGGATAATACTGACATACCTCCCTAAGCCTTAGGGAGCCCCCTCTTCCTTCCACTGCCTCACTCCGAAAAGTAAACACAAAGCCCTGACTCACTCTACCTCCAGTCTTACTGTCCACTTCTGCCCACCTTGGGCCCAAATCTCAGCTATGGTCAGTGCTGTACTCACCGGTTCTGCAGTAAGGGTAGGCATTCCAGGCTTTCTCATGTATATTCAGGGCTCCTTCCGGGGCCAACATTCGAACAAACGTGGGTACTTTGCTGTAGTGAAAAAAAAAAGAGGTGATGAACAAAAAATATGGAGGCAAGAGAAAGTAGATAAAAGGTTTGCATGCAGCCTTTGGCCACAGATCCCGCTTTTTCAGGGTCTAAAGTTGATAAGCACATTTTCATGAGAGAAGCAGGCTACTGTGTTTAAGAAGCCACCTGCCAGGGCCTGACACCTCAGCTTGACCAGCTACAGACAGCACCAACACCTGCCCTGCCACTCACCATGAACAAGAGCTCATGAGACTCTGGGCTGCCTGCTGCCACTTCCCAGACATTTTGTTCTCATTATACTTTCCCAGAAATCACTGGGAAGCAATACTGCCAGGGTCAACTGTACACAACTTAGGTCTACCCATGGTGGGGCCAGCTGACTAACTTAAGAAGATGGGTTCCAAGGGCTGAGTCAGTGAAGTATCTCCCTGAGTCTGGAGTCCCAGCACCCCCATAAAAAGCTAGGAGTAGCAGCACTGGTAACCCCAGTGTTTGGGGGTAGGGACAGAGACAGGGTTCCTAAAGATCACTGGACAGCCAGTCTAACCAACTGGTTCAGTTAGAGAGTCTACTTCAAAATTTAACTTGGGACTAGAAGTGGTAGCCCACTCCTTTAATTACAGCACTCAGGAGGCAGAGGCAGGCGGATCTCTGTGAATTTGAGGCCAGCCTGGTCTACAGAGTGAGTTTCAGGCCACCCAGGGTTGCATCTTTTAGGTGACAGAGAAAAACACCCAATGTTGACTTGCGTGTGTGTGTGTGTGTGTGTGTGTGTGTGTGTGTGTGCGCGCACGCGCGCGCGCGCACACACACAGACTAATATGATATCCAAACCATCTGATCTATTTTCATAAGTTCTCAGGGGACAGGGCAGCTTCATAGGCATCTGCCTCCCAGGGTAAGCATTTGCTTCTCCTCTGCCCCTTGGTGTTTGTCTCCATCCCTTCCCTACCAGAGTCTCATGTAACCTACACTGGCTTCAGACTTCTGATCCTTCTGCCTCTATTTGCCACCCACCACCACACTTGGTTTATGTGGTGTAGGTATCAAACTCAGGACCTTAGGCATGCTAGCCAAGCATTCTACCAACTGAGTTACACATACAACCCTTTAAAAACAAACAAGCTCATTCTGTAGCCCACATTTGCAGGGTGGTTTCTGTCAACTTGACACAAACCTAGACATATCTGGGAAGAGGGACTCTTGATTAACAAAGTGCCTCCAAAAGACTGGCCTGTAGGCAAGGGTGTAGGACATTTTTCTTGATTGATGGTTGATGTGGGAGGGTTCAGCTCTGTGGGTAGTGCCACCCCTGGGCAGGTGGTCTTAGATGGTGTAAGAAGAGAGTCTGAGCAAGCCAGTAAACATCACTCCTCCATGGCCGCTGCTTCAGGTGCTACCTCCAGGTCCTTATCTTGAGTTCCTGCCCTGACTTTTCTTGATGGCAGATTAGGAGGTGAGATAAACCCTTTCCTCCCCAGGTTGCTTTCAATCACGATGTTTATCACTGGGAAAGAAAAGAAAACAAAACACCCTACCTAGGGTCCAGGCTATCCTTGAAGTCACTATGTAGCCAAGGCTGGCTTTAAACTTAGATGCCCTTGTTGAGACAGGGTTTCCCTGTGTAACCTTGACTGTCCTGAAACTTGCTCTGTAGACCAGGCTGGCCTCAAACTCACAGACACCTGCCTGCCTGTGCTTCTCAAGTGCTAGGATTGATTATAGGTGCACACAATCACTATTTTTCCATTTTTAAAGATTTATTTATTATGTTTATGTGTATTAGTGTTTTACCTACATCTATTTCTGTGTTCCATGTATGTCTACCCAGGTTACAAGAAGGCTTTGGATCTATTAGAACTAGAGTTACAGATGGCTGTGACCCACAATGTGGGTGCTATGAAGCAAACCCAAGTCCTCTGCAAGAGCAGCCAATGTTGTCAGCCACTGAACCATCTCCTCAGCCCCTTCTATTCAATTTTCCTCTGTTACAGAGCAGTATGTATCGTATGTACCTAATTTTCTCAAAGTACATAAATTCTCGCGTGCGTGCGTGCGTGCGTGTGCGTGTGTTACTGGGATGGATCTCACATATGCTAGGCAAGTAGCCAAGCACCAAGTCACATCCACAGCTCCACCTTTCTTAGCTTTTAGATGGGAGCTTACATAATCTTCAATAGGCTCTAGCAAATTCACAATCTTTATTCATGCCTCAAGCCTAAGGGAAAGGGTAAGCAGACAACTATCTCCAAACCCTCAGAGCAAGCATCTAAGAGTCTTTGCACACTGATACACAGTCATCTAGGTGATGCTTCTGTGTGCCAGACACTGAATAGAGGAACCAAATGGTCCAGAGGCAGACAACTAATGAGTCCTGAAAGAATGTGTTCTAATAGAGTGAGCACAGGGCCCCCCCCGGGGGGGGGGCACAGGACTCAAGGCAGGCTCCTCAGGGCAGTCAGAACACATGAACACATACATGGAGCAGGGGCTGAAGGGATGTGCAGGATGCCAAGCAACAGGATGGGAGTGGGGCAGAAAGGCTGCGAGAGAGGAGTTCCTGCAAGGTATAGTTGTAATACAATGGAATACCAGGGGCAGAGTCACATGTGCTTACAAGTTAAGCAAGCAGTTGCACTTCGTCCCAAGGACAAAGGGCAGCTTTACACCTGCAGCTTTCAAGAAGAGAGCACAGATCCTCCAGACAAAATGCTTGCCACACAGAGAAATGAAAGGAAGAACAGCTGGAAGCTAAAGCAATATGGACCTTACAGATGTTAAGGGGATGGATGAGGTATCAGAATGGCATTCCAGAAAGGCTTTTGTTTCCATGAGAGCTGCTGGTAATGACCACCAGGAACAACCCCCCTTTAAATTGGGTGTTGTAGAGCTATCAGTGATAGTAACTCAGCATCTATACTCTTTCTAGCATGGAAGAAGCAAGGAGGGCTGCACTCTCTGCCCCTGAGCTCAGCTGAGTTCAGTGAGCAGGCAACAATGGAGAGATTCACTCAGACCACAGAGTTGCTGGCTCGACCCCTGCCCTACCAAGCCTGGGAGCCCATGGGTTCACACAGTCCTTTCACCAGAGTAGCAAACCCAGGATTTCACCACATGAAAATGAAACCAAGTTCAGTTCCATTTAGGGGCTAGGAGTTAAAAATTCAGCTTCTTAAAATTTGATTCAACTTAATTTAATTTTATGTGTTTGAGTGTTTTGCTTGCATGTATTTTTATGTGTCTGGTACCCATGGAGGTCAGAAGGAGGATTCAGATCCTCTGGAACTAGAAGTTACTGATGGTTGTGAGCCGCCATATGGGTGCTGGGAACTGAACCCAGGGCCTCTGGAAAGGCAGACAGTGCTCTTAACCACTGAGCCATCATCTCTCTAGCCCCAAGACTCAGGTTTAAGTTGCATGAAGTGTGGGTGCATTTAATGTCATTAAACTGCACAATTCAAAATGGTTAAAATGCTGAATTTTATGTTGTGTACTTGACTACAATTTCAAAAGATTCGGATTTATTTCTACCAGTTCCATAGTTTCTTTTTTGTTTTGTTGTATCATTATTTGTGTGTATGTGCTTGTTTGTGTGTGAGTGAGGCTATGTGTATGCCATGGTACTCAGATGGAAGTCAGAGTCAACCTCAGGTGACAGTCCTTGGCTGCTCCCTTATTTGAGGCAGGGTCTCTTGTGATGTTTGTTGCTGTTTCTGCCATGCTGGTTGGCACATCAGTTTCCAGTGACTCGCCTGTCTTACTGTGCACTTTTCTGTGTCACAGGCCTATATGAATAGCTCTTTATTCACTAAAAAAAAATTTAAATTATGTGTATGTATGCATGTCTGTGTGTTGTGTGGATATGTACACATAGGTACAGTTGCCCACGGTGGCTAGAAAAAGACATTTGATTGTCTGGAGCTGGAGTTAAAGGCGACCTGTGAGCTACCTGATGTGGGTGCTGGGCGCCAAACTCAACATATTCTACAAGAGCAGCACATACTCTTAACTTCTCCAACCCTCAAGTCATTTCTTAAGTAGTCTGGTTGTCTCCCATTCAAACTGGTGCATGCTTTCAGCTGGTTTCAAAGCCCTTTGGGTCAGCTCATAGTTTTTGCTTTGTTTTGGTTTTTTGTGGTTTTTTGAGACAGGGTTTCTCTGTTTTGCTTTGGAGGCAGTCCTAGAATTAGCTCTGTAGACCAGAGTGGCCTCGAACTCTGCCTCAGAGTGCTGGGATCAAAGGTGTGCACCACCACTGCCCAGCTAGCTCATTGTTTTGTAACAAAATCATTTAGGTTTGAGATTCAGCAAATATGTATAGTTTACTGTAAATTTCAGTACACAAGTAAGTTCCAAAGTTATTTGAAAATGTAGGGGGAAAAAATCTTTTAATAATTTTAAAATGGTTAGAGAGGTGGCTCAGACATTAAGAGCAATTACTGCTCTTCAAGAAGACCCAAGTTTGTTTGGTTCCCTCCAAAGACAAGTGCGCACACACACACACACACACACACACACACACACACACACACACACACATTTTTAAAATTCTGATATAAAGCTGGGTGTTGGTGGCATACAACTTTAATCCCAGGACTCGGGAGGCAGAGGCAGGCGGATCTGTGAGTTCAAGACCAGCCTGGTCTATAAGAGCTAGTTCCAAAACAGCCTCCAGAGCCACAGAGAAACCCTGTCTCAAACCCCCCCACTCCAAAAAAAAAAAAAAAAAAAAAAAAAAAAAATACTGATATAAGCCGGGTGTTGATGGTCTTTAATCCCAGTACTCAGGAAGCAGCAGCAGGAGAATCTCTGTGAATTCGAGGCCAACCTGGTCTATACAGCAAGTGCCAGGACAGACTCCAAAACAACACAGAGAAACCCTATCTCAAAAAACAAAATAAAAAGAACCCCAAGCAAACAAAAAATTTATGTACACACACACACACACACACACACACACACACACACACACACACACTTACCTACCTTTGATCAAAAGAGAAGTACTTGGGGCTGGAGAGATGGCTCAGCAGTCAAGAGCACTAGCTGCTCTTCCAAAGGCCCCAGGTTCAATTCCCAGCACCCACATGGCAGCTCACAACTGCCTGTAACTCCAGAACCAAGGTATCCGACACACTTATACAGACATACAGGCAGGCAAAATACCAATGCACATAAAAAAAATAAATAAACATTTAAAAAAGAGAGGTACTAAAATTTCTCTGGTATCTGATACCACAAAATTAGAATTTAAATACTATCTGAGCTACCAACCACACTTTTTACTGCATTTACTACAGATTTATAGGTAGAAATATGCAGAAGTAGTTCTGCAGAAGTCTTATGTATCTGGAAATTACTATAAAATGGATCTCAAGAGAGGGCTGCTCAAACAGCTGACAGCCCATGTACAATGAGCAAGTACTTTCTAAATATATTACTTATTCATTAGGAGGGTTTTGTTCTTTGTTTCATTGGTGGTTTTCTTTGTTTTTGTTTTTCTTACATTTGTAGCTTAGGCTGACCTGGAACTAATTACAGTCTTTTTTTTTTTTTTTTTATGCATATAGAGTATTTTTTATTTAATTTTATATAACAAAGTCCAATTAAATGAAAACAAACATTTATACACAATATTTGGGAATTTGGGCGTCGTTCTTTCCAAACTACTTCCTGCTGGTAAGGGGCGCTGTCTTGGGGGATTCGAAGAAGATTCAGATATCCTAGCTGTAGTCTGTAGGGCTACTAATTACAGTCTTAACTAGCCTCATACTCACCATCCTCCTGCCTCAGCATTCCAGGTGCTGAGATTCTGAGCAAGCACCACCATGCCCAGTTTTGTTCATTCATTCATTTGTTTGTTTGTTCTGACTTTTTGAGACAGGGTTTCTCTGTGTAGCTTTGGAGCCTGTCCTGGAACTCACTCTGTAGACCAGGGTGGCCTGCAACTCAGAGATACCCCTGCCTCTGCCTCCCAAGTACTGGGATTAAAGGCGTGCACCACCAATGCTTTGAAAGCGTAAGGCAGAAGGGCTGGGGAAGAAGCTCAGGAGCTGACCACAGCCTAGTATAAGTGAGGCTCTGGGCTAAATCCCCAGCAAAAACCAAGCAAGAAAGGTGTGGAAGACAGCTATTACGTGAGAGCTAACTACAGAGGAAAGAACAGTGTGTATAATATAGTATGATCAACACATAATGTAGGAATGAGTGACTGCTTATACACGGTACCCATATTCTCCTGCACTCAGGACAATGGAAGGGCCCACAAGATGCCAAAATAGCTCAAAATAGCGTCTAAGGCCTGAGAGCATGATAGGGTAAGTGAAGCCACCTTTTTTTTTTTAAAAAAAATAACAAAAAAATCTTTAAATAAAGAAGTACCACCCACTCCCAATCTGAGAGATGAAGCAATTCAGGCTGCCATTTTATAACCTGGAGACACTCCCAATTAGCCAATATGACCACTGTCAAGGTAGGCCATGTTCCCGCCCAGCCACCTGGGGCACGTACCTCTGTAAGTGGTAGATCTTGTGTGTGTACTGGCCTTTCTCTCCGTCGTCCTTCTCATACGGCTCGTTCACCAAGACCTCCACACCTTCCCCACCACCAGTTTCATTTTTACTGGCTTCAGCCACAGAATACAGCTGCCCAACTTGATACTAAAGAACCAAAGAGACAGGCATTATTTTCAACAGTTACACATGGCCCAACTGCAACTGTAGTCCAGGAACTCCATCTCTGGGTTCAGTGGTCCTTGTCAAAAATCTTTCCAAAGCAATGCAGAACTCTGTACTTTGGCATCTCTCATGTTTTCACTTTTTCTTTCTTCTATTATTTATTTATTTATTTATTTATTTATTTATTTATTTATTTCAGTGCTAAAGGTTGAACCCACGGCCTCAAGCATGCTATGTTGCTTGCTAAGTGCTCAACCCTCTTTTTTGTTTTCCTGCATCAACCTCCCAAGTAGCTGGGATTGCAGGCTCTCTTTAACCATCAGAAGTATTCAATTTCATCTTCCTATTTTTACAAACCCATGAGTTTAAAGAAAGCATACTTAATCTCACAGCACCATCCAGAAAACATTATATAGAGTCCAGGGTCTCTTTTTGCCTGGCCCCAGCTCAGCTATCAGACCTCAGTTAGTTACTAATAATCTCTCTATCTCACTTATTTAAACAGACCCTAAAGCTTTACATCCTTGTAATGGCAGCACTGAGGAGGCTGGGGCAGGAGGCCAGCCATGAGTATGATGCAACCTGGGTATCTCTGGCTACAGGGTGAGACAAAAACAAAAGCAGCCAGGCAGTGGTGGCACACGCCTTTAATTCCAGCACTAGGAAGGCAGAGGCAAGTGGGTTCCTGAGTTCCAGGCCAGCCTGCTCTATGCAAAATTCCAAGAAAGCCAGGGATGCACAGAGAAACCCTATCTCAACAAAACAGAAACAAACAAAAGCCAAAACAAAACCCAAAAGCACCAACAAAAACACATACATAAATTATCAGAGACCAAGACTCTGACTTATTGTTCAAGAAAGCCATCCAGTGCTGTGTAGCCCACCTCTGGCAAAAACTGGCTTACTTAAACCACTTCCTTTTCCTCCCATGTGGGTTTTCCTCACCCGGCAGGGACCCCAGAACCTCTCAGACAAGATCTCCAGATTTTCCCCATTCCCAGTAGGCTGAAGATCTCCAGATTTTCCCCATTCCCAGTAGGCTGAAGCCATGTTCTTGCTCCCTGCATCACAGGTCCTTCCCCAGGCTGTGTTGGCTGCACGCCCCTCTGCCTTGGCAGCCACTAGATGGCAAAGCCTGGTTTTCCTTTATTTGGGTCACGTGTCACCCTATCAATTCACTGGCCTCCTCTGACCCTTTAGGACCACTAGGTGTAGGACTGATGACTTAATGTCCTTAAGTCCTTAATGACTGACGTTCATAATGACTGACCCCTATTTCTAAGAGAAATTATCTGTAGAAAGAAAACATATTGAAGACTCTAGGCATGGTAGCCTGTAATCTCAGCATTCAACAGAGAAGGTAGATCTCTGTGAGTTCAAGGCCAGCCTGGTCAACATAACAAGTTCTAGGGTGACCATGGCTAAACTGTGAGATCATGTTTCAAAATCAAAGCAAACACAAAGAAAATGAACAGTGCAGAGAAAATGAGCTGTGACAAAGCAGGAAATTACATCTATTTCAAAAGATGTGTCTTCCACTGGCTGCCAAGGGCAAGAAGGCCAAGGAAACGACAGACAAGAACTCCATTACCCCACTTGCTTGGGGAGTGGGATAAAGCTTTCCTTGCCCTCTACACCCTCCCCTGAACTCCTGGTACCCCCAGGAGTAAGACTAGGGGTGTTCTCTCCCTCAAATTAAAATCAAGTAGCTATAACTCTGGCATCCACCACTGACATTGATGTAAGGCACTGTTGCCAGCAAGAGCAGGTCACAGAAGCTCCAGGCTGGCTGTCATACCTGGAAGCCTTCTCCACCTCAGCTTCCTAAGCACTGCAAGGAAACTTCAGGGTGACATCTAGAGGGGAAAGCAGTGGTCCACAACAGTTCACTACTTACCACTAAAGCTTAAGAAGCTCGAGTTTCCAAAGCAAAAGTCCAGCATAGAATGCCAAGGGAAGGCAAAGGTAAGTGATCGAGACTCAGTCAGTCCCATCAAGAGAAATATCTGAGAGAGTGAGAGCCAGTTACCTCGATCTTGCTAATCCTGAGGAATACCAGTGCTGCTTTGGTGCCTCATGGAACCCCACACTAGCCCCTGTGCCTTCCAGTCCTATTACCTGCTAAGGCACACTTGAAACCCTTATCAAGTGGGCCTGGGTTTGACTGAGCCAGGGCTTCCTCATATGAAGCAGCAGGAGCTCTGCTTTGGAGAGTCATAAGGACATTGAATAACTGACTCAGCAAATCCTAAAGGGCAGGCTGGGGAGAGGGCCTGTAGACAGGACTAGCTGCAGCTTGCTGGGAGTGCCCCTTGGGGAGGGGCCTGGGGCTGACAGAGACCTTGGTCTTCAGGGATTCCCTTCAGCTGCAGGAAATCACAGAGCAGGCTCTAAGAGGATCAGTCTGGGTGCTGGCCTCTTCCCCTTTAATCTCTCTTGATATTCTGATCCTTTAATCCCAACGAGACAAGTGAGGCAGTTTTGTTAATCCAAGAGGTAAAGACAGATCTGCCCAAGTGCAGGACACTTCACATCAGGTCCCCTCTGGCACAGCTGGTCTACATCCTGGGAAGCTGTCAGACTCATGATTGGGTGGCAGTAGGGTGGGATCAGACCACAAAATCAGATAGGGAGCCCCAGGGAGACCAGGATTCCAACTTCCTTAGGCTGAAAACAATGTTACCCTGCCCTTGAGTGGTGCCCCCTTGTCCCATAGACTAAGTCACTCAATGAAGCAAAACAGTGACTCTACCACTTGGATAACCAGTGAGTAGGAATCGGGGGAGGTGAAATGTGGAGCAGAAACCCTGGATGATGCACACACAACGAAAATGCAGTCAGTTAGGCTCAGTGGCCTACACCTATAACCCCAGCACACGGGGCTGTGTCACGAGGACTGCCATGAATTTAAGGCCACCTTGAGCCACACTGAGCATCAGGCTAGACAAAGATATACAGTAAGACTCTGTCTCAAAAAAAAAAAAAAAAAAAGTCAAGAAAACAGCACTCTGTTGACCCACCCAGCCAGCCCTGCCAGGCCAGCTTCCATAGAGGAATGGTGCCATGGGTCTGCCCTGTCCACAGAAGGTGGGCCAGGAACGGCTGGGGACACACCCATATCAAACGGCCAGGGCTTTCTTGCTCTGCTACAGGATGCCTGGAAACCCAAGGTAGTGTTACACTAAAGGCTCTGGCCAAACAAGCTAATTCTGCCCCCAAATATCGATTCAGGCCATCAGGATGGTTATAAAGCCATGACCTTCTCCTTTCCTTTTTTTCTCCCCAAATCAGAAGCTCCAGGGGGACTCAAGTCACAGTCTCCAATATAGGAAGTGAATCTACCAGTCACATGATACTGGGCTGTTCTCATGGGAACAGTGAGTCAGAAAGGGGTTACTGACAGAGGCTGTTTCTTACTTCTTCACTCTCCCCATTCTAGAATTTTCTGATTATCCGGAACTAAGGTTCAAGCTACCAATAGAGCAACTTCGCCCCTACTGTTTGCCCATCAGTGCTTTCCTGCTAAGAACAGGCTGACCAGCACCACACAGCCAGCCCCTGAACCAGCACGCACTTCCCAGGCTTTGGCTTGGCCCAGGCTCCCATCGCCCTGCTGTCTCACCACTTCCTCCATGCTGCAAAAACAGCACAAGCTAAACCCTGCCAGCCGAGGGTGTTCTCAAGGTGGGCATCGCCCCTTCCTTCCAACCATGGGCCACCATGAGAGGTCAGAGTAGCACAGGGGTGCTCCCAGATGACTCTTACCCCGTTCTGCAGCACTCTGTCTCAGCCTTTGGCCCATCAAGACTCTCTGACCCACTGTACCTGAAAACCCACATGGAGACAGTCCCACACTCCTCAGGAACTTTCTGATTGGGGGAAGGATGATCCTGTACAGCATCGAGGCAGCCATTGGACCACTTAAGGTAAGGGGACATAAGAGGTTTTCTGTCAGGAAGTCATGTTGTATGCCCTTTCTGATTGCTTTTTGAGACACGGTTTCTCTGTGGAGCCTTGGCTGTCCTGGAACTCACTTCTTAAACCAGGCTGCCTTCTAATTCACAGAGATCTATCTGCCTTTGCCTCTTTTATCCCCAAGCACTGGGATTAAAGGCATGAGCCACTACCACCCAGACTTTTTTATTTTCTCTTTAGGATAAGTTCTTACTATGCTGCCCTGGCTAGCCAGAAACTCACTATATAGGCCAAGATACCTTGAACTCACTTTTTAACATAGACAGCAAGACCCTCAAAGGAAGTGGGTTGACTCTCCCAAAGCTAACAACCAGGCACCTGGTTTCTAGGACCCAGGCATATCACAACATCTATAGTTACTTTCTCTTTTCCTTAGGTTCCTTTATATCTGTCTCTTCCCTCCTCCCCAGTACTTATTTATTTGCTGTTTTATTTGCCTTTCTTCCTTCCTTTTTTCAAGACAGAGTTTCTCTGTGGAGCCCTGGCTGTCTTAGAACTTACTCTATATACCAGGCTGGCTTCAAACTCAGAGATCTGCTTATCTCTTAATCCTGAGTGCTGAGGTTAAACTCAGGCACCACTATATCCAGCTTTATTTTTCTTTTCTGGGTTCTTTCTTTCTTTCTTTTTTTTTTTTTTTTTTTTTTTTTTTTTTTTTTTTGGAGACAGGTTTCTCTGTTTTTGTTTTAGAGCCTGTTCTGCTCCCTCTGTAGACCAGGCTGGGCTCAAACTCACAGAGATCCACCTGCCTCTGCCTCCCAAGTGCTGGGATTAAAGGCGTGCACTACCAACAACCAGTTTTGTTGTTGTAGAGGATCTCACTATGTAGCCTTGGATAGCCTGGAACTTGCCATGTAGACCAGACTGGCCTCAAATTCACAAAGATCCACCTGCCTCTGCCTTCTAAGTACTAGAACTAAAAGGCATGTTTCTTTATAATTTTTTGAAACAGGTTATCACTCTGTAGCCCATGCTGTCCTGAAATCCACTATGTAGCTCAGGCTGATTTCCATCATCCTGCCTCAGCCTCCCAAGTGTCAGAATTAGAAGAGTGAGCTACTGTTGCTTTTGGTTTTGTTTTGTTTTTTTGTTTTTGTTTTTTTTTTTTTTTTTGAGACAAGGTTTCTCTGTGTAGCCCTGTCTGTCCTGGAACTCACTCTGTAGACCAGGCTGGCTTCAGACTCAATGATCTGCCTGCTTTTGCCTCCTGAGTGTGGGATTAAAAGCATGAGCCACCACCACCAGCTTCTATTTTTTTAATTAAAATTTTATTTTGAGGTGGAATCTTGCTGCATACCCAGGCTGGCCTCAAACTCTTTGTTAATTCTTCTGCCACTAGCACCCAGATGTCTCTTTTACTTCTCAGATTTCTCAGACCATGTTCAAATTCACATCTGTCCCTCTCTCCCAGATCTCAGCTGCTTTTATCAACTACTCAGGACCCCACTGGAGACAATCCTCTCAGAGCCCAATGCATAAGTGTCACTCTTGGGGATGATTTGTCTAATCTAAGGAATGCTTCCCTAGGCTGGAGAGATGTCTCAGTGGATAAGAGCACTTGTACCCCATTAGAGGACCTATGCTTGACTCTAAGCAGTTATATACCGGCAACTGGCAACCACCTGTGACTCTAACCCCACATATATAACATGCACATATGTTCATGCACACACACATACAGCTTTAAAGGATGCTCCAGCTCTGCTTTCATCCCTCACAGATCCAGCCCCTATGTGGAGCACAGGGGTTTCCTATTGGTCCTACAGAAAAAAAAGAGCTGCACCAACAACTGGGGTTCAGACTGGCTTTCGTTTCACTGGAAGCTGGGGTGGAGCTATGGATTCGGAGGAAAGTCAAGAACAAGCTTGACCAGGAAGGGAGAAGAGAGGAAGTTCACAGAAAGGGCGGGACAAGGCAGTTTTGTGCTATCCAATAGATAGCTCTGAGTCAGCAGAGCCTATGGACCTTCTTGTGGCAACTACTGCTGCCAGTTCCACAGGCACAGGGCTGTCAGACCTAGGAACCATAAAAGGACGGAGGGTGAGCCAAGCCTGTTTGTCATCCTCTGCCGTCCGTAAAAGGAGGTTTCTATGCCTTGGTCTTTCCAGAAGCTACGAGCATGGCTAGGGACTTGAGATTTCTGTCCTTGCTGGTTTGCCTCAAGCACATTAACCAGAAAGCACTGTCCTCAGCCTAGTCATGGAGGCCCCACACAGGCACGCACGCTGCAGCTCGTCGTCAATCATGTGTCCCACATAGTCCCACATAGTGCAGTCCCAGCAGATGAAGATCTGCCTTAGTCTCTACTCAAAGCTACCCAGCAAGCCAAGAGCTTGAGACTGGCTGTACTACTCAGGGACCAGATTCACCACACAAGTGCCCTCCTTTAGCAGAAAGCAGCAACAGGCATATTTGAACTGAGACTTATGTTCTATATTAGAACACAAATGAAAGCTACAAACCTTGTGGCCACTCCAGTCCAACTAAGCCTATGTTCATTATGAACAACTATGGATGAGATGATTAACAAAAAAAAAAAAAAAAAAAAAAAAAAGGACTTACCTCATCTACAGACACAGGCAGGATGACTCGACTATAAAAGAAGAAAAAGAGGGTATCAACTCTAGGCTCTGAAAGCGTCACCTTGGCACAGTGTTCATGTGTTGTTGCTGGAATCCCATGTAGAATCCCAAAATTCAGAGCAAACCTGAATTCCCCACTACCTACTTTGCAGACCACTCACATCTTTTCTCATCTACTCCCTTGACCCTCTGTCCTCCTAGACTTGCTCATGAGTCTGGTAGAACAGAAGCTAACAGTGAAGGCTCATCATGATGAGGATTCAGATTCACAGAATGTGGCCCTGGTGATGTGCATCAGTGGGCTCAACTTCTAACATCAGCCTTCAGGATCAAATGCTGTAAAGGGGACAATTCCCCAGATGCTTAATCAACCCTAGAGATTCAAGTGCCCCCACTTCTGCTCTCTGAAAGATGTTACAATGCAAGCTACCTCAGGCAGTTCTAGACAGGATACCCAGCTCTGACCTCTGGGAGCTATCCAAAGGCACTCCAACCCATCACTTTCTTTCCTCCTGCATTTGACCACCTCCAGTTATTGGAAGGTACCACAAATAAGCTGATAGAGAAATCATGCCCAGCAAGATTGTCAAAAGGGTCAGAATTGCAAAGCACTGAGAAGACTAGCGGCACATACCCAGGTGGCTTGCACTTGCAACAGACCAGTGACTCACCCCACCCAGTTCAATACTCTAAGGTCAGAGAGATGAGAAGAAAGGCCTTGATCATACTCAAAAGTCAAGCCACCCAGCACTGTGGAGGCGGAGGCGGAGGCAGGCGGATCTCTAAGTTCGAGGCCAGCCTGGTCTACAGAGTGAATTCCAGGATAACCACGGCTACAAACCCTGTCTCAAAACACAAAACAAAAAATCCACGTAATCCAAGTAAGACAAGTGGAGACACGCATGGTGGCACACATCTTTAGTCCCAACATTCAGGAGGAGGAAGCAGGCGGATCTCTGAGTTTGAGGCCAACCTGGTTTACAGATTGAGTTCCAGGACAGCTAGGGTTACACAGAGAGACCCTGCCTCAAGATAAAATACATAAAAAAGAATCGAGAGCCAAAGCTAAGATCCTCACTTCTCAGAACCTTGCTGGAACCTGCTGGGCCCTAGGCATCTTTATGTCTTTGCTCAGTAAAGCATGAGCATGTTCTTCCTAAGCAGAGATTCAAGCATGGCTTTTTGCTCCAGGCTGCAAAACAGCTTGCTATTCCCTAGTCCCACAGAGTTCTGGATAGCAAGAAAACACACAGTGAGGCCTGATGAAAACATCACAGTAAAAGCCAGGCATCAAGCAGAATAGGCAGCAGAGGGGGAAAAATGGGCTCCAGGTTCTTTACTGCCTGCTAACCCCTTCTTCCAGAAAGATTCCAGTAATGTAAATCCTTCCATTATAGAAAGCCAATGGTGCAGGGAAGTACTTTCAACTTAGAGGGCACAATTTCTGCACCCTCAGAAGAAACTTCCTAGAAAACAATATGCCTTTTATCTTCAAGAACACAGCGAAAATCACATCCAAGAATTAGCAGAAGTCAAACCAAGGAAAATCCTGTTGAAGGAAGTGTCAGAAAAAGCAACAGGGACAACCTTCAGATCCAAATCTCCTCTCAAAAGAGGAGCCAGTGCCTTCAAGGATGCTCTGAGTCTGCTTACAATACAACCAGACATTTCTCCCTTTGCCCCCACAGAACAAAAACCACCTCAGCAGCCACAGGGGACAACTGGAAGGGAGAGGGCCACAGAGGCCCAGCTGGGCCAATACTGGAGCCATCCTCCCCATGGCATGACCTTCACTTGCATCCTTCTCAGAACCATAGTACTGCAACTACAGCCCCTCGCCTGCCTTGTCTCTCCTCCTGTCCCCCACCCAGGGATGCACACACAGGATACAAGTCCATCAGGAAGGTAATAGAGATGCTAGGCATCACCTTGGGCCTTTCCCTGGCCAGGCTTCAAACAAAGAATAGGAAAGGAATGCCTGTCTCCCAAATTTGCTTCATCTCTTCAGAAGGCCTTTCTTCCCCCTGCCTGACCTTTTCAAAACTACACATTTCTACAGACACTTCTACACATTTAATATATGGGTTTTGTTTTTTTTTTTTTTTTTTTTTAACTGAAAAGTGAGCCGAGCTCATTCGTTTGGACACTGAGGATTAAAATGCAAAGAGCACCATGTCCTCCTTGGAGAACATTGGCACCCGAATGTTCTTCGCCACATAAAGCTCTGAGTGCTGGCTGGATTGACCCTGGGCATCAAAAAAGGGCCTCCAAATATTGCTCTTTGCAAGAGAGTCAAGGTGGGATGACTCTTGGCTCTCTACTTTGTCATTCAAACAGCACACTATGACATCTTAAACACCCCCAAGAAGCAAGCTCTGTGGGGATGGACAAAGCAGAGGAAAGAATCCTCTGCACACTTGCTTGGTCACTAAGAGTTTCACAAGTGTGTCTCTACTTGGACATTTTCCATTTCTGAACTTCTGGGGCTTAAGACCCAATGCTGCCCCCTTGCCTCCTCCTTCCGGGAATCTTAGTTTCAGATGGAGTCTATACACACATCCAATCGCACTTGGGATGTTCACTTGGAACCATGATCCTCAGGAATGGGTCACAATGTCTGAAAGGTTTAGCAATCAAAATAACCCTACCTGTCAGCCAAGCCCCTGGGTTTCAGGAGCAAACATCTAGCAAGCCCCACCTGTCCCCCAAATCAATAGTTCCTCACCCCCAAAACATTTGTGGGGACCTTAATTCCCCCAAGCAATTTCCTCATCTCTTTGAACCAAGACCCGAAATCCTGGTACCCACGACGTCCATTAGCAGGCATATTCATTTTTATACTATCTTTCTGGATGGTCTTGTTCCCTGCTAACTCCTTGCCCATCTCTATCGCTGAAACTCCTTCACACCACTTCAGAACCTGCCCGGTATTTTACAGACTCCTCATTCAAGTGTTGCCAAGTCCTAAGCAGGCATCCCGAGCTTTTTCCAAAAACCTCCTCTTTTGCACCTACTACTTAGGTGCACCTACCATGTCACTCCAGCCATCCACACCCAGCCCTGATATCTTAGTCCCCTAAGCTTTCTCCCTTCCCATCACCCAAGCATGGCCCTGACTTAAGTCCTTTTTTTCTTTTTCTGCAACCAATTATTACAATCCTTCCTCTGCTGCCTAAGGCAGCCACTGTCCATGCCCTAGGTTCCGCCTCAGCACTCCTCCCCACCAACTCAACTCCATTCCAGGAGCTATCTTATCTGATCTTCCCTGCCCCTTGGTACATAGAGCCCAGCCTCAAACCCCTCCCCACCGTCAGCCAACTCACCGGCGCTGTCTGCCCTTGTCCCACTGCTCCTTGGTCCCTTACACAACTCCTCAGTCTGCCCCTTCATCCCCCAGCGCCCACTATAGGGCCACACCACATCCAGCGCCCTCCATTCCTCGGGGCCCTCCTCATGCCCCCTCTGGCTCTCCCTGTCCCCTTGACCCCTATTCGGGCCCTGTCCGGCCCGCACCGGTTCCCAGCCTCTTCTCTGGCCTATTCGACCCCACCTCAGGTGCTATCTGTCACCCACTGGCCCCTCCGCCCCTGCTAGGCAGCCCAACAGCCCCATCCGGTGTTCTCCATCCCCTGGCAGGCGATCTGCCTTCGCGGCCGTCATCCCGACCCTCCCTTCCGCCTCGCTTCCGCACAGCCGACCCGACACTCACTACTCCTTGAGCAGCACCATGTCGCTTCGCGGCTCGGCGGCTGCCAGCTGCCAGCCCGGCCTTCCGCACGCTTCCCGGCGGCCGCTCTCCCGGTGGCCCGGCCCGGCCCGGCTGCCTGTGCGCCTTCGTCGTGGTCTGCTCTGTCTCTGCTGCTCTCGCTGCGGTCGCCGCGCGGGCTCCTGCCGCCCTGCCCTGGTCTCGGCACCTCCCGCGCCTCTGCCGACGCCGCCCGGAGCTCCGGTTCCGCAGCGCCGCGCGGGGGCGGGGCGTCTCTGCGGCAACCAGAGCGTCAGACGCAGCAGTGCGCGCTGACCTCACGCGGGGCGGAGCCTTCCCGGGCCCGCCCCTCTACCCTTAAATGGGCCGTGGCTCCGGGTCAATGTCAGCATCCGAGTTGGGGCCCAGGCAGTTTTAGAACTCAGAATTTAAAGGGACATTTCTGGTGTAAATGTTCTTCTGCAGCAGGAATTGATGCGCCTAGATGCGTAGACTTCGCTGGTGGGTGTGTTGAGAGCCAAGCGTATCAAAAATAAAATGAGGGGCTTGGAGATTTAATTTAGTCGGGAAGCACTCGCCTAATTCAGATGCAAAAAAAAAAAAAAAAATCATAAGACAAAAGTGTGTATATGTGTTCTCTAAATACTGGACTCCACAACTTCACCAGAAATGCAGAAAGGTACTGTTAGTGTCCTCATTTACCAATAAGTAGGCAGAAGAAGTAAGATTTGCTTATCACAGCTTCTCCATGACTTTTTGTCTTTTAGGGTCTCAATATGTAGCTTTGCCTGTTCTGGAACTCGATCTGTAGATCAGGCTGGCCTGGAACTCAGAGATCCACCTGCCTCTGGCTCCTGAGTTCTGGGTGTAGCTGAATGTCTTCTCATGTATCCAATCAACACTGAGAGTTTATTGTGCTCCAGAGCTTGTGCTATCCTGGATAAAGAGAACAAGACTGGTACTTTCTTGCCCTTAGGGGTTGGAGATCAAAAGGAGGGGAGGCAGGTGATGGCTGAAGCTAACAGGCATTTAGAAGGAAAGGGACTGCCAGGCCTGTAATTCTAGCTATCTGGGAGCTGAGGCAGAGGGGTGGAAAGTTCAAAGCCACTGTCTCATAAAAGGTAAGGAGAAGGCTGGGATACAGCTCAGTGGTCGAGCACGTGCCTAGTATTCAGGAGGTCCTATGTTCAATCCCAGAAGCACAAGAAGAAAAAGGTAACAAGTCATTAAGCATGAGGGTGAAAGTTGTGCTTGATGGGATTACACAGGAGGGCACCTGATATGTGGGAGGAGTCCCAGGGATAGCATTCCAGAAGACAAGATTTAAGAGTAGGTCTGCCAGATGCTGGGGCAGGAAGAACAGCAAACAGAGGGCATATGTATGTAAAGGATGCAGTCAAAAAGAAGAGGATGCACTTGGGGACTTGTCCTTGTTTAGTTTTCTGTTGCTGAGATAAAGACCACCACCAAAAGTAACCTGGGGAGGAAAGGATGTATTACATCTTTGAGGTTAGAGTCCATTATCAAAGAAAAACAGGGCAGAGACCAGAAACAGAGGCCATGGAGGAATGCTGCTTACTGGCTTGCTCAGCCTACTTTCTTGTATAACTCAGGACCACCTGCCTAGGAGTGGTACCATCCAGGGTGAGCTGTGATCTCCCACATCAATCACTAATCTAGACAGTACCCCCACAGGCTTGCCTACAGACAAATCTGATGGGAACATTTTCTCAACTGAGGTTCCCTTTTCACAGATGACCCTAGCTTGTATCAAGCTGCCAAAAAAACAAAAACAAACAAAAAAAAAAAAAAAACAAAAACAAAACAAAACAAAAAAATCTGATCAGCTCATGACTGGAAGAGATAACTGAAGCATTGGGTTTGGAAGCTGGAGAGCTGGAAAGGTTCCTGGCTGGTGATGGTGATGTGGACTACAGGCCACAGGAAAGGGTTTCAGCAGTGATAGATTATGGTATGATTTTTCCCTCTGAATGTTGGAGCAGGGAGGGAAAAGGAGAGGGTTGTGTCAGAGCAACAGTGACAGGCAGGGACACCAGAGAGAAGGCAGCTGCAGAAGTCCAGGGAGCATTCAGGGCCGACAAAAATTAATAATAAAAGGTGGTGGGGTGGTGGCGCACACCTTTAATCTCCCAGCACTCTGGAGGCAGAGGCAGGCAGATTTCTGTGAGTTCAAGGCCGGACTAGTCTACAGACTGAGCTCCAGGACAGGCTCTAAAGCTACAGAGAAATCCTTTCTCAAAAAATAAAAAAACCAAGACTTGTTGGCTACAGGGGAAAAGCAAGGGAGGAAGTGAGAAAAACTGACAAAGTTTGGGGCCTGGGAGCCTGAGTGACTAGTACTGTACTCAGTGGAGGCAATGAACCGCAGTGGCAGACAGGTGGGACTCAGAGAGCAGGTGCTTGAAGGGGATCTGGGTACAATAGTGAGTTACCCAAGATGGTGGCTCAAGAAGGAACTGGGGAGCAGGTGCCATATTGCCACACAGCTGTGACCAATGGCCACAGCTGCCCTAAGTGTTCCATATATTGACTATTTATCCAGAAACCCAAGGTTCACCCAGAAACCCAAGGCTAGCACTCTGAAAGCCCAGATCAGGAAATGGCCTGGGACTTGGTCCCCCTGTCTCCCTGCACAAAGTTCTTTCTCCTCCAGAGCATCAATGGATAGTTCTCTAGAAAATGCTGGCTCTCTCCAGGAAGTAACCAGATCCTGTGCCCCCTGGGAACTGGCAGTCTAGTTAGGGAGACTACATTTACTCATCCACTCAATAAATATTGATTGAGGACCTGGCCCTGTCCTAGGTCCTTTTCTAGGCACTTAAGACACGAGGGATGACCAAGCAAACAAGATCCCTCCCGTGCTGAATGAAGGGAAGCACAAAACAAACACACAGGAGTGCTATTTAGACAGAGATTGCTGCTAATTAGTTGATAAAGGCTGAGACATGAGACTGAAGGGCAGTGCCACACACTGGAGACATAGGTCCCCTGGCAGAATGCTTGCCTGGCACTCACAGAGTCCTGAGATAAGCCCCTAGTTATCACATAAACCAGTTCTAGTAGCCCATGCCTGTAATCCAAACACTTCTGTAGAGACAGGAAGTTTAAGGTCATCCTTACCTACCCATTCAGTTTAAAGCTAGGCTGGGCCACACAAGACCCTATCCAAGAGAGAGAGCGAGAGAAAGAGAGAGAGGGAGGGAGAGAGAGAGGAGAGAAAAAGAAAAAGGAAAGAAAAAGAAAAATTAAGGAAGAAAGAAACAAAAGGGCCAGAAATATGGCTTATCTCAGTTAAGAGTGCTTGCAACTCTTCCAGAAGACTGGAGCACCTATCAACACCCATGTCATGCAGACAGTAAACATTTGCAACTACAGCCTCCTGAGCATCTGATGCCTCTGACCTCCTCCTGCCTTTGCATGCACATGCACATAGCTACCCACAAATAGCAACACATACACATAATATTTTAAAATTAAAAAAAAAATTGGGGAGCTGGAAAGATGGCTCAGTGTTTAGGGCTGTTTTATTAGAGGTCCTGAGTTCAATTCCCAGTAACCATGATGACTTACAATCTTCTATAATGAGATCTGGTGTTCTCTCCTGGAGTGTAGGCAGGCATGCAGACAGAGCACTGCATACATAATTTTTAAAAACCATGGAAGAAAAAGTAGTCAGTGATGGGACAGACTTTTAATCCCAGCACTCCAGAAGCAGAGGCAGGCAGATCTCTGTGAGTTTGAGGCCAGTGTGTTCTACAGAGCTAGTTCAAGGAGGACAGCCAAGACTGTTGCACAGAGAAAACCTATCTCAAAAAAAAAAAAAAAAAAAAAAAAAAAAAAAAGGCAAAGGGCCAGGCAGTGGTGGCATTTAATCACAGACAGGAGGCAGAGGCAGTCAGATCTTTAAGCTCGAGGCCAGCCTGGTCTACAGGGCTACACAGAGAAACCCTGTCTCAAAAGTACAAACAAACAAATAAAAAAAGAACTGAGGAGGTGTGGAGGCACCTTGAGCTAGGAGAGACTAGGAAGGATAGCCATTGCGAGGGAAAGCATTGCAGAACCAGGTACAGGGCAGGGCTGGCCTCCAAAGTAGGGGAGCAGCACATGCTGGTTGCAGTGACTGGAAAATGAGTCGGGCCTACAGACAAGGCTGAGCTTGGGGCTTTGAGTTCCCGTTGAGAGGTTCCATCTGATAAGGGAGCAATTAGGAGGCCTTAAGAAAGTCCTAACTTCCTGTTGAGATTCAGTTTGGGAGGCTTGACACTCCTGCTTGACTTCTTTCTCCAAGCATTTCAAAGTCCTCTGGATAGGTCATCCCACCCTCCATGTTTCAAGATGTCTATTAGAATGCTGATTGTCTTAGGAATCCACAGCGCTGTAATCACACTTAGACGGGTGAATCATTTCCTCTCTCTCTCTTAAAGATTTTTTTTTTTTTTTTTTTTTAATGTGCATTGAGGTTTTGCCTGCAAGTCTGTCTGTGTGAGGGTGTCAGGGCCCTGGAACTGGAGTTACAGTTTCTAGAAGCCATGAAGTTACTGGGACTTGAACCAACATCCTCTAGAAAAGCAGCCAGTGCTCTTAGCCACCAAGCCATCTCTCCAGTCCCAATCTTTTATTATAATTATAATTATATTATTATTAAAAGCTTTGCACTATAGGGGATAGCCCAATGGCTTAGTGAGTTAGTTAAGTTACTGTGGCCAAGTCTGACAACTGAATCTCCAAGTTGTCCTCTGAATTCCACACATGTGCTGTGGCATGTGTGCACCAAAAGTGAGTGTATGTGCATGTGTCACAGTATGAGTGGAGATCAGAGGACAACTTGTAAAGCTCTCTCCTCCCTTATATGGGTCCCTTGGATTAAACTAAGGCTGTCAGGTTTAGCAGCAAGCCACTAAATCCATAGAGTCATCTCACCAGTTTTGTTTTGTTTTTTCTGATACAGGATATCACTTTGGAGTCTGTCCTGGAACTGGATCTGTAGACCAGGCTAGCCTCAAACTCACAAAGATCTGCCTGCTTCTGCCTCTCGAGTTCTGGGATTAAAGGCCAGTGCCACCAATGCCCGGCTTTTGTTTTTGTTTTTTAATAAAAGACAGGGTTATCTGTATTTTTTGCTTGTGTTTGTTGGTTTTACACATTTTGACTTATGGGATTTTTCTTGTTTTGTCTGTTCCATGTTGCTCAGGCTAACCTCAAATTTACTATGTATCTTAGGATGACCCTGATTTTCTAATCCTGCCTCTTCCACCTCCTGAGTATGAGGATTACAGCCATGAGCCAGCATACCTGA